TGTAATAACCCCCTTAAAAACTGTTGTTCAGGACTGCTTACTTGTACTTCCTACCTATTCGGCTACAGTAATAACCATTGTTCGAGCCTAGACGCAACATTTTTGCTCTCATTCATGAAACGCTTAAATCGCGGACATTTTCGGGGACAGCTTTTTCCGGGGACAGGTCATCCAATACGGGGACTGTCCCCGGAAATCGGGGACGTCTGGTCACCTTATGCTAAAGGCTAAAAATGGCAGGTATTAAACCATATATTTTAGACCCCGAGTCCGAAGAGGAGGTGGAAGTTGAAGAAGAAGCCGGTGATCTCCAGCGGTGTTTTCTTATTCATTCTGCCCAGCTTTAAGTTCATTTTCCCGGCAGTGAACTCAAGGAAACACCGGTCGTTTGTAAGAGACCCATAGTGGATACAGTGGTAGCTGGATCTCGCTCTGGCTGGAGAGTGATGTTGACTGTGAATGAGTACGAGAACGAGAGAGTGGGCGCGGCTCACCGAGGACGTGCTCCTGAATAATAATGAGCAAGGTCAGTGCGACGTCAGAGGGACCTGCTTTTTCAATTGGCCTGGTTTACCCGTTCCTTTATTTTAAACCTTTACAGAATGCAAATGACGTAACGGTTTGTTTTCATATTTACAACATAAGACGAACATAATGTGGACCTTATCTGACACAAAAAACACACAAAAATACATTTTGATGGCAGGTCCCCTTTAAACCCTATACGCCTTATCTCCTCCCTCTCTGCGCCACTGGCAGGAGCTGAGGTAGGGAGGGGGGATACTTAGACCGAGCTGCGCCGCTCACCAATATACCAAAGTGTGCTTGGTCATGCCTCATCGGCACGGTGGACCTGACTTAAATAGAGCCCATAGTATCATATGGTATATAATATAGTATTAGTGGTGCCATAGCTAGGTCTGCATAGCCAGTCTTAAGTCGGACTCATTTCCGGTGAGGGTCTGACTTTGCCAGGGCGTTGAGGGGGTCTGCTTTGGTGGTCTCAGGATTGGGTCACCCAGTGTGATAAGAATCAGCACCTTCAAATCTGAGTCCATGGTGTTCAATCAGAAAAAGAGTGTCTTTTTCAGGTCGGGGATAAGATCCTGCACCAAGTGGAGGAATGAAAATATCTCAGGGTCTTGTTCACAAATGAGGGAAGAATGGAGCAGGAGATCCAGTGGAGAATGGTGCGGCATCAACAGTTATGAAGATGCTGTACAGGTTAGTCGTGCTAAAGAGGGAGCTGAGCCAAAGGGCAAAGGTCTTGACATACCGCTCAATCTACGTTCCTACCCTCCAGTTCTAATCAATGCAGCATCGCACACAGGACACGTCGCAGGACACGTCACAAAGGTGCATCGAGCTCAGGATACGCACCAAATCTATTTTCTCTGCTCTACGCTTCCAACAAGTGTCAATCTACACAAAGCAGATCGTTCTAGACACAATGTCAAACACAGAAACCGCGTATGTCATCCAGTAAATCTTAAAGTAAAACACCATATGCAAACTCCCAACTGTATCAGTCCTTGTAGATGAGAAGCACGTCCTGGTTATGGATTTATCATTAACACAGAACAATCCCGTGGTCAATCCCGATCCATGTGAATCCCAACAAGACTTTTAGCTGCTAACTCTGTCTAAAGGTAACAGCATGAAGGAACATAGTTCACTTTATTAAACACTAGTAAACTTGCAAAAATCAAAACTTTAAAATCATGTTGCTTTTTCAGATACTGTAGAAGTTCAACAGTCAGTAAATATTATCCAAATTACCAGGGAAGAGACCACAAAAAGGCAAAGCAACCTGTTGTAAGCATATTGTTTCCTCCACACTGAGCCCAGCTGACTGGGGCTGCAGTACGCTGCTGCCATGCTTCAAATGCGCATCCTGTGGGCGATAGACAGTGCTGCTCGACGCAGCAGAGGCGTGACGCTGACGGAACACACTCCATATGGATCCTGTATGTTTTCAGCGTAAGACTCCAACAATCAGAGTAGATCACTTCAACTCACAATCACTCAAATTAATCAGCAGAATCACAGAGAATAATTCCTGTCATCAATCATTAGAAATGAAGCAGAGCTTTGCTGATGTTTTGAAGTCACAGAACAGTTGATATTCTGGTTCTCTGCTGTGTTTCAGTGGAAAGTTAAAGCTAACATCTCTGGAAAGTGTGAAAAGTTTGATCATTTGACTAAAGTCCAAACAAGTGCAAACCAGAAATTTGTGCATCACTCAAAAAAGCAGAGTCATAAAACTGGCCAAAGAATGAGGATGCGAGCACGACTTTGAGTGTTTGTGTGTGTAATGGACTGAGTCAGTGTGTTTATTTGACAGTGTGTGTGTGTGTGTGTGTGTGTGTGTGTGTGTGTGTGTGTGTGTGTGTGTGTGTGTGTGTGTGTGTGTGTGTGTGTGTGTGTGTGTGTGTGTGTGTGTTCAGAGATAAGTGTGTCTCTGATGTATTGTAAATGGAAACCTCAGTGTGTGTCTTTTTTGAGTAACTGTTTGTGGACTCTGTACACAAAGGAGCTGGAGCTTGGAGCAGGTGTTTATTTATTTATTTATTTATTTCTGACAGCTTACACAGCCAGGCTTTATGCAGCAGCTGCTGCTTCTCTTAATCACCCTGATATAAATTTTTATGTTAACTGAACTTACTGGCTGCAAGGGCTGCAAAGCATACACAGATTAAGTGACATCCCTCTCTCTTTTTCAACCTGCTGTATTTATTCCTATCTTTTATTCATATCTCCTCTCTCACACCTCATGGATAGCAACTGGAATCTGTGAAGACGAAAAGAGACAAACAGATGTCTCCAAGGGTAAAGTCCGTCCTATGCATGCATTAACTCTGCATCTCTTTCATTTTGTTGTAGAGGGACAAAGACTAAATTAAGTTTTTCTGATCAATGCAAAGAGTAAATCCCACTTTTTCCTACATTGGCTCTCTTTTTGTTATATCTAAGTGTCTGTCAGAATACAGAGAGCAAAAGTTTTAGGTTTGCTGAAGCAGATTGCAGCGATGAAAAGAGCATTTAATAGCTGTAACTTTGTGCATGCTTTTGCAGAGCCTATTTTTTTATTGGCATGCCACAGACACACATAAATGTGTGTGTCACATTGACAACAAAAACTGTAAAGTTACAAAGTTTGGTGTCCATACTAAATGTATGCAAAGTTTCAAATCACAAGGTTAACGTATTCTGAATTCTGAGAATTTCCGCATTCAAACTGCTGTGAATCTCTGGTAGATCCGGACGGCAGGCTAAGGCACAGTAAGATTTCCTAGGTCACAACTGCAAGCCCCACCCCCGGAGCCCCGCTATGCAGATCAGACTCGGAGAAGTAGAGAGGACGATTGTGGAACAAGCGTGTGCATTTGTGGATTACAATGCTATTATTCTTATTGATATCACAGTTTTGAATGGTATTGCACATTGCATTTTTTCCAAATAATGCAGAAGCTAGAAGCAGACCTGCAGGTAGATAAATGTTTTGTTTTGTTCTGCTAGATGAAAGTAGTCAAATTCCAAGAGAGTCAATTGTCTGTTTCTAATCGTATACATGTCCATGAAAACACACCACGTGATATAAGGTTTGAATTCCTGTACTTTTTGAGCACCGTAATAATGTGGCAAAAAGAAAACACATCCCAGCGTTATATTTTTTCAGAGCTATGGAACCTTAATTAGACATAATGTGAGCACAGCAGGATGTTTAAAAACAGGTGCACACACACTTACTGATATCATAAAGTACTAGTCTGCTTCCACCAGGTAAGGCAGCTGCTAACGCTGACTCTTGTTGTCACAAGAGGACTCAGAAAAGCTCCCTAAATTATTCACTCTCTTTATGAGGAGACTCTTGTTGAGAGCTCACATTGAGGAATTCCTCGGCTTTGGAGGAGAAGCTGTTGTTAAAGATCCTCTCTTAGTTTCCTAATCGATGGGCTGTTCAATCTGTGCACAATCTGTGGAGCCTCTTCAGCCACAGTCTGGACACTACAGATGTCTGAGCTCTGCCTAAGCCACAGCTACACCTGCAACACACAAGCTGCAGTGACAACGTTTCATTTCTCATTCTTCTGCTACAGGCCAATTCACAGAGCAGTGAATAAGATGTCTGCTGGGTTAATGTGAGCGGCCTGCACAGCCCTTATACCAACCCTGTTAATTCGAGAATGGAGTAGATATCTCTAGAGCTAAATCAAACACAGAACAGTGTCTGTTAAATCATGTTTGTTTAATCCAAACTGTGCCACAGTCCACTACCTATACTTAACTTAGCCATTATACCTAAGATCCTCAAGAAAGATGAGGCTAATATGACCTTATCTACAACAACAGTTTATTAAGGTTTCCCTTTTATCACATTAATCACATAGAGTCCTCTGTGCACACCAAGGTTAGTACCATACTGGGCTCTTTTTAGATATCACATAGTCCTTTGACATTATTCAAAGGAAGCACACTATGAATCTGTTCACTAAGTTTCATTCAGGACTTGTCTCACTGGATTTCACCTTAATTACTTTTTCTCCAAATAACATAATGAGAAAACACTCCAAGCAAAGCTGCTGTTGGTTGTTCAAAGCACCTTGGTTAAACATTTTATAAATTTTTAACCTTTCTGAGCATAATTACTAGCATTCAACACCACTTTTAGTAACCCTCTTTGCATGGTAAGATATACCCCCCCCCCAAAAAAAAAAAAATAAATAAATAAATAAATAACAGCATTTTTCAGCTTCACAGTATCACAAAAAAAGACACATATTGGGCTCTATTTTCGTGCGCGCCGGTGAGGCGGCGGAGGGTGGCGAGCCCCGCGCAGTTGTATTTTCGTCTGGCGGAGCCCAGCGTAAGGCCAATTTGGTATTTTCGTGGCATGAGCCGCACGGAGGCGAGCCGAGATCCGCCAAGCTGGGCGTGGTGGTGTGGCAGGGGGAGGTGTCGACAGAATCAGCAGGCGCAGTGACATTTTCGTGCTCGCCAACGGCGTGTAAAGTGCGCTGAAAGCTCGCCGATTCAAACCTGGTCAGCTTTCAGCGCAAGGCGGAACGCAGCTCGTCCAGTAGTATTTTGGTAGACCGGCGGCGTATCGACATACGTCACTGATGCCTCACCGGCAGGTTTCCACAGTGTCAGGCACATTTCAGTGCAATAAATAATCATCAACAACTATTAATCTGAGTCAGCACATACATTTAGATCTATATCGATATATTCTGATCTATATCTGATCTGATGAGCGCGTTTGGCACGCGTTTGGACACACAACCTGAATCAACACAGCTGAAACCGCATCAAATTAAATTAAATATCTAGTAAATAGACACACATGATGAAGTTAACAAGATATGTGATTCGTCTCCCTCCTTTTCTTTCTTCCTCTTCCTCTTATTTCTCGCACAGCTCGACCTGGACACGTCTACGTGTCCTCTGTCCGTCTTGCTGCTGCTGCAGCTGAATAGATGATTTGTTTCAGTGCTCGGATGCGTTATCTACTTTAAGCCGACATACGGATATTATAATATTCAGTTTTGTGAGCCAAATTTATTTTATATGCCAACATCTAGGAAAGACAGAGCCAGGCCACGGAGCGCGATGCGTCATTTACGCAAAGATGGTTCCGATTTTAATGCCATTTTTGGAGTTTATGTTGTGATCTCTGCGCTCAACCCACCTTTGTCACGTGAGGTTTGAATATATGCAACTTTATGTGAGTGTCTTTATTTGTGGAAAAGGGTGTTTGTCTTACCAGTGGGTCCAACATTACGCACACCAAATCCATCTGTGCTCATATGAGAGAGTGTGGAGGACACTTGTTGAGCAGCTGCCCTCTGTCGCCATCTTGTGGCATTACTGTCTTAAGACATCTCTTGATCTCTTTGACTACTTCATGAAAATAGTAATATGCCTTGCCTGTAGCGGATTTAAAGGCAAGGAGAGGAGCCTATGTGATTGGTGAAAACAGGTCTCGGCTGTGTTAAACCCACTTCACGGCCTTTCTCCTCCCCGTCTACGACTTATGGTGCTGGGAGGAGCTGAGTTAGGGAGGGGGAATACTTACGCCGGGCTGTGCGGCTCACCAAAATACCAAAATGTGCTTGGGAACGCCTTGTCAGCGCGGCGGATCTGACTGACGCTGCGCTTGCGGCACGTCTCCGGCGAGGCACCAAAATAGAGCCCCTTGTCTCAAAAACATGTACACGTGCATTTGTTATTTGTAGGACTTAATAAATTCTTTATCCCCTCCAAACACTGCAGCCTGAGCAGCAGCATCATAAAAATTTAACACATCTGCTCTGTATTTGCTTTTCTGCACAGGCGTCAAATAAGATCTGTGTTGTAAAATGGAAAAACTATAATCCTTCTTCACTACCAGGCACCATCCTATAAGGCGCTCATAATGTCTTATGAGCCCGCCTAAACAAGTCACTCCCGTTAAGTTGTTTGTGCAACTTAAAATCTCCAAAAAATAGTATTGGAGGCAGAGCCTTCAACTATAAAGCCCCTCTTCTTAAGAATCATTTCAGTCAAGGTCAGGCAGGTAGTCTTCCTCTCTACTTCGAAGAGTAGGCTAATGTCTTTTCTCATTATTACACCTCAAAGGGCTGGCTGAGGTTTGTTGAAGGTTCAGATTGATAAAGGCTTAGACTGCTTTCAGCTAATACTGCTGGGATATAATTGACACAGGCTTGGACTGCTTTAGGTTCAAACAGTATGCTTTGTTAAGGACTAGGGTTCTGCGAACCTATTCTCCAATCAGCTTAGACAAATCTAGACTTAGGGTATGGTGACCAGACATCCGCCGATTTTTGGGGACAGTCCCCGATTTGCCTGTGCTGTCCCCGGCAAGAAATTGTCCCCGGAAATGTCCCCCGATTTGAGCATTGAATGGTAGGTTGATCTTGAGCGAGCCACACTCAGAGACTGCCTAATAGTATACATATCCTCATACAGTCTTGTCTCGGTCCACATTCAGTAATCATCAAACCAACAGCCAGAAATCTGGGAGTAACCTTCGATTTAGACCTCACCTTCTCCACCCACATCAACAAGATTGTCCAGTCCTGTTTCCTTCACCTGTGTTCTATCGCAAAGATTAAACAGATACTCACCCCACCAGATCTCGAAAAGATAATCCACGCCTTCATTTTCTCAAGACTGGACTATTGTAACTCCTATTGGACTATTTGGACTCCTCCTCCGGACTGGTGAGCGTGCGCATTGCTTCATTCCCTTCCTTGCTGTTGAACTGTGTGTAGCGTTTCGTTTCCTCCTGAAAGCGCTCTCTTGCTGTTTTGGTTTATTTTCTATCTGTAATTTATCAGTACATCTGTCTGTTTAGAAAGTCTGTAAGTATTTCTGATAGTTTTCACCAAGCACCGTTTTTATCTCCACTCCGGGCGATCTCTCTGACCATTTACTTTATTAGCTCCTAGCTTAGCTTCTCTTAGCTACACTTGCTAACGATGGCTTCCCCCCGGTCGCCTGCTTCTCCTGCTCGCTTCTGCTCAGTGTGTCAGATGTTCAGAGACGATAACGATACCTGCTTTAAGTGTAGTTTATTCTTAGCTCTGGAGACGAGGATTACAGAGTTAGAAAAGCGGCTCCGCACCGATGCTAGTGTAGCGATAGCCAGCCAGGACTCGGTAGCCGGTGCGGGTCGGCCTAGCTTAGCCTCCCCCCGGCGAATCCCGAGCAGCCGGGATGTAGTAGTGGTTGGGTCACTGTGAAAGGGAAGCATAGCAGTAGACCTAAGAAGCCCACGGTAGACCACCACATTCACACTTCAAACAAATTTGCCCCTCTCAGCAACACACCTGCTGAGCCTGACGCTCTTGTGATTGGAGACTCTGTAGTCCGAAATGTGAAATTAGCGAAGTCAGCGGCCATAGTTCAGTGTCTCCCGGGGGCCAGAGCGGGCGACATCGAAGGTAGTTTAAAACTGCTGGCAAAGGCTAAACGTAAATTCCGTAAGATTGTAATACATGTCGGCATAAATGACTCCCGACGCCGCCAGTCGGAAGTCACTAAATTGAACGTGGAATCGGTGTGTGAATATGCCAAGACCATGTCGGACTCCATAGTTTTCTCTGGTCCCCTGCCCGATCAGACAACTGATGAGATGTGTAGCCGTATCTCATCATTCAACCGCTGGCTGTCGAGGTGGTGTCCGCAAAACGGTGTGAGCTTCATTGATAATTGGAAGTCATTTTGGGGCAAGCCTGGTCTGATTAGTCGGGACGGCATTCATCCCACCCGAGATGGAGCGGCCCGTTTATCCAGAAATCTGGCCGATTTTATTAATCCGAACCACTGACAATTCAAAGCAGAGATCAGGGAGCAGGGCCGCAGTCTTACACGCCCCCCTGCGCCTCTTTTAGAGCAGCCTCCCAGCCACTACCACTTATACACAGAGACAAGGGAGCAGAGCCGCAGTGTAAAACGCCCTTCTGTACTCCCTTCAGAGCAGCTTCCAAGCTACAATCAGCTTGACTTAGAAATCAGGGAGCAGAGCCGCAGTGTAAAACGCCCCTCTGTACTCCCTTCAGAGCAGCTTCTAAGCTACTCTCAGCTTGACATAGAAATCAGGGAGCAGAGCCACAGTGTAAAACGTCCCTCTGTACTCCCTTCAGAGCAGCTTCCAAGCTTCTCTCAGCTTGACATAGAAATCAGGGAGCAGAGCCACAGTGTAAAACGTCCCTCTGTACTCCCTTCAGAGCAGCTTCCAAGCTACTCTCAGCTTGACATAGAAATCAGGGAGCATAGCCACAGCTCTACACGTTCCTCTGTACTTTTGTTAGAGCAGCCTCCTAGCTACTGTCACTTTAATATAGAGACTGTGTCTGTCCCTCGTACTCGGCTCTCAAATTCTAACCGATCAATTAAAAAAGGAGTAAATAACAAGAACCTTACTAGAATTAAGACTGTTAACATAGCTGAACCAAGTACTAGTAAGATAAAATGTGGCCTACTGAATATAAGGTCTCTAAATTCAAAATCTGTGTTAATAAATGAACTAATCTCTGATCATCGCATTGATTTACTGTCCCTAACCGAAACATGGCTGCGTAAGGATGAATATGTAAGTTTAAATGAATCCACTCCTCCTAGCCACCTAAACTTTCACATTCCTCGAGACTCCGGCCGAGGTGGTGGAGTTGCAGCTATCTACAATTCCAGTCTTAGAATTAACCCAAGACCAAAACTAGATTATAACTCTTTTGAAAGTCTCGTTCTCAGTCTCCCGCACCCAGCCTCAAAGTCCATGAGACCACTGGTATTTGCTATAGTTTACCGCCCTCCGAGCCCATACTCTGAGTTTTTGTCAGAGTTCTCAGAGTTCCTATCCGAATTAGTCCTTCTCGCAGATAAAGTCATCGTCGTCGGTGACTTTAATATTCACATAGATGTGGAAAATGATAGCCTAAGCATTTCTTTTCGGTCCTTGCTAGATTCAATTGGGTTTACACAGTGTGTACATAGACCTACGCACTGCTTTAACCACACTCTCGATCTCGTCCTGGCTTATGGCCTCAAAACTGATGCCCTGTTAGTCAGCTCATTAAATCCTCTATTATCTGATCACTGTCTAGTAACTTTTGAATTTGTGCTCTCAGGTTACTCTCCTCACAACAAAGTCGTGCTAACTAGAAGGTTGTCTGAAAATGCTGTTACTAAGTTCAAGGAGGTAATTCCGTCTGCTCTAAATTCTGTAGTTGAGAAAAACTTTACTGATAGCTCATATTTAAACATCAGTCCCTTGCAACTCGACCAGTTTGTTGATGATACCTCAGGCACACTGCGATCAGTTCTAGACTCAGTTGCCCCTCTTCGACAGAAAACTATTACACGCGAGAGACTAGCCCCGTGGTATAATGCTGAAACCCGTGAGCTGAAACAGTTATTAAGAAAATGTGAAAGGATTTGGTGCTCCTCCAAAACAGCTGAAGCTCGTTTTCTCTGGCAGGAATGTCTCGATAAATATAAGAAAGCCCTACGACGTGCTCGGACAACCTACTACTCGTCTCTTATTGAGGAAAATAAGAATAACCCCAGATATCTCTTCAGCACTGTAGCCAGGCTGACAGACTGTCCGAGCACCACTGAACCATGTATCCCATTCTTCAATGATAAAATCTTAAAAATAAGAGGTAAAATTAGTAACCTATTGACTCCACCAAGTGTCTCTCTCTCAGATAACCCTAAAATTGTTGAGGAGCCCCTAAGGCCTCTGGTGCACCTTAGTAATTTTGTACCTATTGACCTTCCTGAGTTAAAATCAGTGGTGCTAGCAGCCAAACCATCGACGTGTCTCTTAGACCCAATTCCATCTAAATTGCTGAAGGAAACTCTTCCTTTGATTAGTACGTCCCTGCTCAAAATGATTAACACGTCTTTATTAACAGGATATGTTCCCCAGTCTTTCAAGACTGCATTGATTAAGCCTCTCCTTAAAAAACCTACTCTAGACTCAAGCTCCCTAGCTAACTATAGACCAATATCCAACCTTCCTTTTATTTCTAAAATCCTAGAGAAAGTTGTTGCGAATCAACTCTGTGATTTTCTCCATAACAATGGTTTATTAGAGGATTTCCAGTCTGGGTTTAGAACCCATCACAGCACAGAGACTGCTCTGCTAAAGGTGTCAAATGACCTACTCATGGCCTCAGACAATGGTTTTCTCTCTGTTCTAGTCCTGTTAGATCTTAGTGCAGCATTTGACACAATTGACCACTCCATCCTGCTTCAGAGACTAGAACAATCTATAGGCATAGCAGGATCAGCTCTCTCCTGGTTTAAATCGTACCTAACAGATCGATCCCAGTTTGTCAATGTAAATAATAAATCCTCTGCACACACCAAAGTGTGCTACGGTGTGCCGCAAGGGTCAGTGCTCGGTCCAATCCTCTTCACCCTGTATATGATTCCGCTGGGTAAAATTATGAGGAAGTATTCGATTAATTTCCACTGTTATGCAGATGACACCCAGCTATACCTATCCATAAAGCCAGAGGAAGCAGGCCAGGTTGCTAGGTTAGAAGCCTGCCTCAAAGATATAAAATCCTGGATGACCAATAACTTTCTAATGCTCAACTCAGACAAAACTGAAGTTCTGGTCCTCGGTCCTAAACACCTTAGAGAGGCGTTCTCTAGTAATTTAGCTACATTTGATGGTATCAGCCTGGCATCCAACCCCACTGTGCGTAATCTAGGAGTTGTATTTGATCAGGATTTATCTTTTAGCTCCCACATTCAACAAATTTCTAGGACAGCCTTTTTCCACCTGCGCAATATCTCAAAAATTAGACACATATTGTCTCAGAGCGATGCAGAAAAACTAGTCCATGCCTTTGTTACCTCTAGGCTGGATTACTGTAATTCTCTCCTATCAGGCTGCTCTAGTAAGTCATTAAGGACTCTTCAGCTGGTCCAAAATGCAGCAGCTCGGGTATTGACTAGAACTAGTAGAAGGGAGCACATCTCCCCTGTTTTAGCCTCTCTTCACTGGCTCCCTATTAAATATAGAATTGAGTTTAAAATCCTCCTTGTGACATATAAAGCGCTTAATGGCCAGGCGCCATCATATCTCGACGAGCTAGTTATACCGTACTTTCCATCTAGACCGTTACGCTCACAGTCTGCAGGTCTGCTCGTTGTACCAAATGTCTCTAAAAGTAGTGTTGGAGGAAGAGCTTTCAGCTACCAGGCACCTCTCCTCTGGAATCATTTACCGGAATCGAGGTTCGGGGGGCAGACACACTCTCAACTTTCAAGAGTAGACTTAAAACGTTCCTCTTTGATAAAGCCTATAGTCAGGGCTGATTTGAACCAGCTCTTAGTTATGCTGCTATAGGCCTAGACTGCCGGGGCTATCTGGCACACTGAGCTAGAATCTGTCTCTATCTCCTCTTTAGATCTTTATGTCCCATATAAGTCACTGACCAGTTTTCTGTCTCTCTGAGTGTCTCTGAGTCTTTTAGCTGCCACTGGACTAATGCTGCAAACGGTCTGCTGCGGAACTGCCTGACCCCAGCTGCATCCATCCTGGGCCCTGAGCTCCTCCATCTCTTTGGCTCTTTGGCTTCTCTGGACCGTTGCTGCAGGGACCCCCCCCCCTGCGTTGTTCCTGCTGTTGTTCCTGCTGCCTCCTGTCTCTCTCTCATCACCCTCGTTCCCTACTCTCTCTCCCTCCCCCTCCCTCTCCGTACTAATTCTCTCTCGCCTTTCCCCTATCTTGCTGTCTCTCTCCCTCCCCCTGTCCTCTCCCCCTCTCCCCTCTTCTCTCTACATTCCTCCCCAACCCAGCAGCGGCATGGTGGCTGTCTAGCATGAGTCTGGTCCTGCCCAAGGTTTCTGCCTGTTAAAAGGAAGTTTTTCCTTGCCACTGCTACTCATGTTAGTTGAGATGGGCCAAAACCCATCTTAGGTTGGTTCTTGATCATCAAACAATGAGCGTGGTCTCGACCTGCTCTTGTTCTTTGGAAAGCGTCTTGAGATGACGACTGTTGTGAATTGGCGCTATATAAATAAAATTTGATTTGATTTGATTTAACTCTCCCCTCCCTGGTTTAAACAAGAAATCACTCTCCCACTTCCAACTAGTTCAGAATGCAGCAGCTAGGCTTTTAACTGGTTTTAGTAGACGGCATCATATCACTTCAATTTTAGCCTCCCTTCACTGGCTTCCTGTCAGTTTTAGAATTGATTTTAAGATTTTATTGATTACTTTTAAAGTGCTAAAAGGACTTGCGCCGAGCTACATTTTATAGCTTTTAATACCCTATGAGCCAACTCGCAGCCTCAGATCCTCTGGCGAAGGCCTCCTAGTCGTTCCAAAGTCAAGGCTCAAAACTAAAGGTGGTAGAGCTTTCTCCATCACAGCTCCTCGACTTTGGAACGACCTGCCAGAGGAGATTAGGCATGCAGAGACAATCACGTCTTTTAAGTCAAATTTAAAAACTCACTTTTACAGACTTGCTTTTATATGATGCCGTCTTTGACCTTTTTTCTCCTTTTTCTTTTATCTCTTTTACCTCTATCTTATTTCAACTTGCTATCCTTTTAGACTTTCTTTTAATTATAATCTTTTCTTATTTTACCTCTTAGGTCCTTTATTGATTTGAATGTTTGTTTGTTTTTTCCTGTTCATTTTTATTATTTCATTTTGTCATTTAGATTACCATCATTATTATTTTATTATCATTATTAATATCCTCTTTTCTAATATCCTTTTCTATTTCATTTTCTTCTTCTTCCTATTTTATGTTTTTATTTTGGTCCTCATGGTCTCATTTTATGTTGTAGGGTTCTTGTATTGCCTGGGTTTCTTATGAAAAATGAAACTGGCCTTCAATTCAGAGGCTGTGTTTTTAACTGAGCTTTTGTTTTTATTTTATTTATTTTCATGTGCTGATGTTCTGTGCTTGCAACTGTTGTCAAAGCACTTTGTAAACTTCTGGTTTTAAAGGTACTATATAAATAAAGTTATTATTATTATTATTATGAGGGACAGCCGGAGAAAGATGAGTAAAAGCAACGATCAGTTTGCTGTTGTTTTTTCATTAATAAGTGAATTAACAGAGCATGATCAGGTGCTTTATCAATAATTAAACTGTTAATTAAAATCACTGTGCTTCATTGAACAATGAAGAGAAGCTAATTGGGATTAAAGAGCAAGGTCAGGATTCCTCTTTATTAGTGTCAATCAATTAACCTTTCAGTGCTGTCAGTCGAGAAAACCTCCTCATATATTATTTGCACAAGTTTTTCAGTAACACCCCATTAATCTTAAAACCACTGAGCAAATTCAGATCTACCTTCATCACTGTTTTGCACGGTATAATTGATGAGGTATTGTGAATGTTTCCCTACTTTTTTCTACAATTTATAGGGGCAGTTCCTTCAGTGTCCACTAGAGGCTGTCTACAAAACTGGGTCAATCAGGTTTCAAGTTTTATTTGTCACATGCCTATATGTACAGGTACAGTGGCAGTAAAATGAAAGTGACGTCTGCAGTTGTGCCAAAGAAACAGAATAATAATATATAGAAAGAGATAGAGAAAAATAGAAATAAGATAAATATCCACTCCTATATCCACTCCTATATACATCCTATGTACAAATAACCGTAAAAATAAAAATAAAATTAAAATAATTAAAATTATATATATATATATATATATATATATATATATATATATATATAGACTCCTATGTACCAAGAAAACGAGGTAACAGAGGTAAACAGGTAAAGTGACCAGTGAGTTATTCTTCTGTAGTACAGTCTGTTCAGAGGGTGTTGAGAAGTCCGTTATGGGGTGTGTGTTATGAGGAGTTCAGGATCCGAGTGGCCTGGGGGAAGAAGCTCCTTTTCAGTCTCTCAGGCCTGGCTCTGATGGAGCGAAGCCTCTTGCCTGAGGGCAGCCACTCAAATAGTCTATGGTTGGGATGGTGAGTGTCTTTGATAATCCGTCTTGACCTGGACCTACACCGCTGGGTGTAGATGTCCTGGAGGCCGGGCAGTGCAGTACGGGTGATGCGTTCAGCACAATGGATGACTCAATGCAGGGCCTTTCTGTCCTGAGAGCTGCAGCTGCTGTAACAGGCAGTGATGCTCGCAGAAAGCACAGACCCTACTGTGGCGGTGTGGAAAGTTTTCAGCAGCTTGGTGGAGACCTTGAATTTCCTGAGCCTCTTGAGGTGGAAAAGATGCTGCCTCGCCTTCTTCACCAGGGTGGAGGTGTGTGAAGACCAAGTCAGGTCCTTGGAGATGAGCACCCTGAGATACCTGTAGCTGCTCACTCTCTCCACTGGATTCCCGTAGATCTTGAGCGGTGCATACTGGATCCTCTGCCGCCCTCTCCTGAAGTTGACCACCATCTCCTTGGTTTTGGTGACGTTCAGGTCCAGGTTGTTGTGCTTACACCATGAAGACAGCAGCTCCACCTCCTCCAGATAGGCCGTCTTGTTGTTGCTGGAGATCAGGCCTACCACCACTGTGTCATCCGCAAATTTCACAATGATGTTGTATTGGTGAGATGCTGAACAGTCATGGGTGTACAGTGAGTACAGCAAAGGGCTCAGCACGCAGCCTTGGGGGGGCTCCAGTATTGAGGGTTAGGGATCTGGAGGTGTGGGCACCAACCTTCACCACCTGTGGTCTGCCAGTCAGGAAGCTATGAACCCAGGAGCAGAGTGAGGGACTCAGCCCTAGATCCGCCAGCTTGGTAACCAGTCTGTGAGGGGCTATGGTGTTGAAAGTTGAGCTGCAATCAATAAACAGCAGACGCACATAGTTCCCTTTGCCGATGTCCAGGTGGGAAAGGGCGGAGTGGAGGACATGGGTGATGGCGTCGTCAGTACTCCTATTGGGGCTATAGGCGAACTGCAGGGGGTCCAGGGAGTCCGGTAGTGATGAGCAGATGAAGTCTTTGATAAGTCTCTCGAAGCACTTCATCATCACGGAGGTCAGGGCAACACGGCGGTAGTCGTTCAGGCAGGCAGGGTTGGTCTTCTTGGGCACAGGGATAATGGTGGACTTCTTTAGGCAGGTGGGGACGACAGAGTGGACAAGGGACAGATTAAATATGGTCGTTAACACCGGGGCTAGCTGGTCAGCACAGAACTTCAGCAGACGCCCGGGAATGCCATCTGGGCCAGCTGCCTTCCTGCTGTTCACTCGTCTCAGAGCTCTCCTTACGTCGTGCTCCGAGAACGAGAGGGGGCGGTTCTCCACGCTGGTCAGGACTCCGGCATCAGCCACCGTGCTAGCGCTAGTACCAGTAGCCTCAAAGCGAGCAAAAGGTGTTAAGTTCTTCCACCAGCGAAGAGTCCGCAACAGCTGCGGTATTCACTCGTCTAGTATAATCCGTCATCGTCCGCAGTCCTTGCACACATGCATACGTCTGGTATCGCGGTCACACAGTTGTCCCTCCACTTTGTCCCTGTGTCACCTCTTAGCCGCTTTCACCGCTTTCCTGAGCTTGTAGGCTGCCGCTTTGTAAGGTGACATGTCGCTGGTCTTGAGCCCCTCGTTGTACGCAGCGATACGTGCATTCAGAGCTTCCCGGATAGACTTATCCACCCGCGGTTTCTGATAAGGAAAAACCTTCACAGTCACCATAGGGATGGTATCGTCTAGCAGTTTGCTGAGAAAGCACGTAACCACTTCAGTGAACTCGTCGACGTCACCCGAGCTCTCGCGGAACATGTCCCAGTCTCTGTCACTCAGTGCGTCCTGCAGTGTGGCCTCTGATTGGGCAGACCAGCGTCTGACCTCTCGCGATACCGGGGGTTCACGTTGTAGCCTTTGTTTATATTTTGGAAGGAGGAAAATGGCGTCGTGGCCAGCCTCCCCAAAAGCCGATAGTGGTTTGGCTATGTATCCTTCCTTGAATGGAGTGTAGCAGTGGTCCAGAGTGTTGTCTCCCCTCGTCGGACATGTGACGTGCTGGAAAAAGTTGGGCAGACCCTTTTTGAGGTTGGCCTTATTGAAGTCACCAGCCATGATGAGGGCAGCGTCCGGGTGCTTTGTGTAGTGTCTGCTGATGTAGTCATGCAGGGTGGTGAGAGCAGTGTCCGTGTTCACCTGTGGTGGAATATAGACGGTGAGGATGATGACCGCGGAGAACTCCCGAGGTAGATAGAAGGGGCGACAGAGGATTGCCAGATGTTCGAGGTCCAGTGAGCACGAGCGCGACAGAACAGTAACATTCCTTGGATCACACCAGCTGTTGTTGGTCAGGAAACACACTCCACCACCTCTTGATTTGCCGGAGTCTTCCATTCTGTCCATGCGAAACACTGTGAATGTTTCAGCTGGGCGAACGGCGTGGTCCGGCACCTCCGACGTGAGCCATGTCTCCGTGAAACAAAGGATGTTGCAGTTCCTCATGTCGCGCTGGAAGCGGACCCGAGCCCTGATGTCGTCCAACTTGTTGTCCAAAGATTGGACGTTGGCCAGCAGGATACTGAGAAGAGGAGGGTGGTGTGCTCGTGCACGCAGCCTGTTTTTGACACCGGCATGTTTCCCTCTGTGTTTTTTCCTGCGCGACTTTGGTGGCCATTTCCTCTGGTTACGCTCCGTGCTCTGTAGGATCTCCTTCGGCCAGGTAGAGCTCTGACTCAAAAGTTCCGAAAATGGGTAGATAGACCTGCTAGCAAAGTTAAGTAGTGTGCTGTGGTCATATGTAATTAGACTGGGACAATGAGGGGTTAAAGAGCTAAGGATAACTAAGAAAAAAACTAACAAAAAGCACAATCTACGCGGAGCAGTCACGACGGCGCCTGGACACGTCCGCGCCATCTTGGAATCAACCCTCATTGAGTCCCATTTTTCAATGTCCAACCATACAGCAGACAAATAAATAAATGAATAAAATAAAAATAAACAGTATATTTACTGGAAAAAAAACAGTTCTGTTTTCTCTTTATTAACTTCTGCAGATGTTTGGATGAGAAAAAGTCTTCCTACTGCTACACGCTGTGGGAAATGCGTTGGATTCTGCTGCCAACTATGCCTCTGTTTAAAAGAAAAAGTCCAAGTTGATGATCAATAAGGACGTTAATAAAAGATAAGGCTACTTTTATAAGCAATGGCTGGATATCGTTATTTTAAACACAGAAAGGTTTTTGTTCACCTATCAACTGCCATTATTTATGTTGTCAGACGTTCTGTTGTCCTTGGTGTGGAGGCCATGACATGCCCCATAACTCACCAACCTTGACACTCACATCCAACTTGAGGAAAAATATAATATTTTTCAGGTTTCAATGAATAACTGACTTAACAGCACCCCTATCTTAAAACACCAGACCCTTCTTCTGGGTTCAACCTATATGCAAGACACTTGCTGGGTGTATATGGCATGCCAGGACCTACAAAAAGTCCTCTTGGACCCATCCTCTAGGTCTGACACACACCACCACCTTGTGCTTACTCTCTAATCTGTCTCACTCCACTGTTGGCGATCACGTCTGACCAAAAAAACATGAAAAGAGCTTAAAAATCAGACGCTTCTGCAGCCGTGACTTATTCACTGAGGAAAGACTGGTGCCGAGTACATACACAGGATTGATAGTCTCAGTTAAAGCTTTCAGCGCTCTGCCTTCATTCATTGTGTGCCTACAGGTAGAGGCATAGTGCATATGGAGGAGGTGGAGGAGGTGAAGACAGGAGTTTCTGAATAACACTGAAAGGAGCTTTAATTTCTCTGAATACGGTTAAATCAGAGAGGAGATAAAAGTCAAACAGCAGAGAAAAGCAGTGCATCAACTTTAGCCAGAGGCTCCACACATGTAAGCTGCTTTAAGAAACCTCCACATCACCTAAGACTGCTGCAAACTATTCTCATTGATTTAATGTTCAACAAGAGTTTAAGTGCACATATACTGTAGGTGACACCTTTGAAAATTGACCTGTTTTATTGGAGAAACTTTGACTTTTGGCCTAAAATACAAAAAGCACCCTGTCAAAGTCTCTATTTCCTGCACCAGTTTCACAGGTTTGGTTGTGTAGCAATTAAGACAACCCTGGGTGTGAAACTCACACATTCCTCACAGGAAAGTTTCCTTATCTGGTCCCAGGACACAGGATATAAATCTTTCCAGACTTGTTTGCACTTTCAGGTTACCTAAGTGACCCGACCGGAGGTTGACCAAACCTCTGACTCTTCACGATTGGTCAATTCGGAGAACAGAGACAGAGTTTTTATTACCTTTCAAACTGACTCCATCGCTGACCATCTAAATAAACATTAACGCTTCAACCCAGATCTCCCATTTGAGATTTACCGTCTTAAAGTGTGTGAACATACGGACCCCAGGATAAGGGAGGACACTGACCTCCAGACCTCGGTCGTAGAACCCTGCTCGACCATACACTGATAAAGACTACATTCCTTTGGTGAAAGAATACAAATGACTGATCATGACATCTTATGCATTCAGCAATGTACTAATCTGTCTAATCATGAAATTTGTGTTAAAATGGGATGTTTTCCGTTTTTCTATGTCCTCCAGAAGCAAAGTTATCATTCTGACAGAATAAATCCTTTATTCTTTAGTTTCTTTAGACCAACAGCTTTTCAGACTGTTTCATGAACTTTTAAGAGTTAAATTTATTGACTATGACTCATAACTTTACTCTAAGTAACAGAAATGGTTTAGAAATGTTTGGTTTATATTTTAGTTGTTTATTTAGTATTTTTAACCATTAGGTGGTTATAATGTCATTGAATAATCTGAATGTCAGTATTTAGAATCCATTATTAATCATGATGAAGTTCATTCACATATGTTTACTCTTTTGTTGTTCACAGTTTCCATGTGTTACTATCTGTTTCATTTCAGAGTAATTTAGCATGTTCAATGTGATACTTAAAACATAATGAGAATGTTTGATGTGATCCTACACTTCATTCATATGTGTTTAGTATCAAATTATTTATCATGAAACCAAGCATTCAATGATATTAATCATAGTGAGTGAGTATCAGATCTGACTCTTTTACCAGCCAAAAGAATAAGTTAGATCAAATAATCAGAGACCCCACGAACCCTCCTCTTTCTCCTCACACACACACACACACGCCATAGACACTCCCAGTGTGAGAAGATAAAACCAGTTAAGTGGGGTTGCTCGTTCTCTTGTCCCCTTACTCTTCTCTTGTACCCTTCCTCTTCTCTGCTCTTCTCCCCTTTCACTCTTAGTTGCCCTTATACAGTCTTCGTTTTCTCTTAGAACTTTTTCTTAGTCTACTAAGTTTTACGCCACGTGTTGATTCACGTTGATTTTTCTTTAACATCATCTTAGTTCAAGTTTTGAAACTTCAACTTTTTGTGCGCATAACAATTTAAGATTAAGCCTTTGATTGATTTTTCTTTAATTTCGCGAAGCCATTTTTGAAAGTTTCTCTGCTCATCGAGCCTCGTTTTTCTGAGTTATCTGCGTGATTTCAAATTCACCTCTGAACGCAACCCAGCAGGCCCAGGTCATCCTCTGTGCCAGAGTTTTTGAGTGAGACCAAAGAAGCGTCCAAACGAGCATTCACAGGATCCACAGGCGCCGGCTTTACTCCAGGCCCGAGTGCTACAACTCCTGGCCCATCCTTCGGCTGACTTCAGTCGTCTTCTGAGCTGAACCGCTCGAACCGCCGGTAGCCCCGGACCTTCGGAACCTGCTCCATCTTCTCCAAGGACCAGTCTCACGTAAGTATGCAAACCTCCAGAGCTCCAAACAGGGCTGATGCTGTCTCATGCGTTCATAACTCAGATATCCACCTATTTCTGGTGATCTAAGATTCCTCCAAATCCACATCCGAGTTTATCTCGACACCAAAGTTAGTGTAGGTTAATATGTTAGAGCATATTCACTCACTATCATTAACTTTAGTGCTCCTAGCCTGACTCAGAATCTTTATTTATTCACCTATTATTATTTATCCTCATTATCTTATCATCATTTATTGCATGTATGTTGTACCATCATTTATCCTGTAATAAACAGATCATTATTTTCCTAAGTTCTTGTCTGTTAGTGTTCTTCCAGAAGTGGAGTCCCTGAAATGAGAATTTCGGCTCAAGATATGAGATTTATTCATTTAAGATTGACTTGATGTTTGATTTCTGAATTAAATTTTAGTTTTTCTTTATTTTCCCACCATTAAGGGTGGGTGGTGCCCCTTTCAACGAGTACATAAATGTCATAACTTGAGATTATTAATCTCCAGATATTTATTATAAATTCAAATCGCTACAGTATTATTTTGGTGCGACCATGTGAGGCTCATTTCAAACCGTATTATTTTGGTGCGACCGTGTGAGGCTCATTTCAAATCGCTACAGTTGCGACTGTTTTAGGTGTCATATCATCACCTGGACTCTCTCAGTGAGTAAATTGCCTTCTACCCCTCCTCGATAACTTTCCTGCTGTGCTCATCAATTGGGGCTGGTGAGGTCTCAGTTTGATTCAGTATTGACTTTACTCTGAGTCTTTAGGCTCAAATACCTTTCAGTTTCAGTCATTTCTGTCCTTCGTAGTTTTACTCATAGATTTTACTCTTTACTTTTAGTCAGAACATTGTTTCTTTTTAAAGTGAATCAGAAACTGTGGTGGTGGTGGTGGGGGGGGGGGGGGCAGGTTCAGTCCTTAAGATCCTTGAGTCTAAGGAACCCACCTTGACCTAACCTAAATGAGAAAGAAGCACCACGGTGCACTTCGTGCATATGAGTGACAAGATTTTGTTTGATGGATTGGATGCCTGTTGAGGAAAATAACGTTGATTTTAAGTTTTTGACCTTAAACATATTCTTTATGTCATTGTCCCAACAAAAACATTGATTATCCAAATGACCCTGGCTTGAAGAGCTTCTAAGATCAACACCGGGGTCTCTTTGAGGGACAACAACTTGATGTGGGGCACCTGTTATGGTCAATGGAAATTAAATGGGCTTCTCACCTCACAGCTACAGGCAGCAACTTATGTTGCATTATTTCAAATAGTTAGCTTTCACAGAGGAAAAATAAATTTCAGATTTCTTCTGCTGCTAAAAAAAGAACAACAGAGGATGGACGTCTGAGCACCAAGCAGTGTTTGGAGGGATTTAAATGAAGTGCTGACAGCTTAAGGTAATAAATTTGGTTTCTCATTCACTGCTGCTGAGCAGTTACACATCATAATGAATCCATATTTTCATACTGATACTTTCACTGAAACAAAATATGCCACACAGACTCTTTTTTTTTGCTGATTCAAACATTGCATGTATTTGGATATGTGCAACATGCACAGACAATTTCAGGAATGTTTCAGCTGTTTGTGGTTTACTGAGTCTAATGTAGGGGTGTCAAATCCTCGATTTGATTTAATTTTCAATTTTAGGGTCACAATTCTATTCTCGATTCTTTGTCTTTTTCTTACAGCACAGAGGCCTACGCCATTTTTAAGCTAGTCAAGTCTAAGATCATTGGTTTTATTCATTACATTTCATACAATGAATCTTATTTCAAAAGATGGGCTACAAGTGATGCAATTTCCATTAATCTTGTGTAATGTATCACATTAGGCACTAATAGTCAAATTTAAAAGTGAAAACAACAAAAACAAACATTATAACAGGGCTGCACGATTTGGGGAAAAACTTATACTGCAATTTTTCAACTCTGTGGTATATATTGTGATATTAAAAAAATACAGGAATTTTCACCAGATGACCTGAATAGCACTTTGTTATGCTGCACTGCTGAAATATTGTGGACAATTAACCCGCACTAATCTTACCTCTTTTGTAAATGATAGTAGAATGGCTTCTGTCTTTCCTAAGAGATATTTTTAGCTTGTTTTTATTGTGCTGGGACTTGTTATCTCTCATTGTGGCAACAGAAAGGCACTGCCAAAACTGAACACGTGTTTGGTCGACATCATCCCTCTTGTAACCAAAATAATTCCAGATAACTGACGCTGCTTTTCTTTTTGGCAACACGTCTTCATTTTTGGTGGTTTTCTCGTGTTTATTTCTTATTTTTCAATCGTTGTTGTTACTGGTGTTGTGCCGAGAAACCCGTCTGTTAAGAATTGCATGCACCTTGCGGAAATGCGCACCGCTTATAGTAAAGTGGTCCACAGAACTGTACAATCTAAAACCCATACAGTTCTTATTTGTGGGGCTGAACAGTGATGAGTAATGTTCTGTAAGTAATTCTCAGCACCAGCGACTCACTCCATGTGCAGGCCATGTGCAGGGACGTGGTTTCCTCCTCTCTGGTTTTGATTGACGGCTGGTAGGGTAGTCTAATTGGCAGCTGAGTGAAGAACGATGTGATTGGTGGATCACTGCACAGCACAGTGTATTTCAGGCAGCTACCCTTGAAATTAAAGGAGTTCATTCGCCTCCTACTTTGCAGGCTCTGCAATGTGACTATCGCAAACATGTATATCGTGATGATGATGCTCAAATGACATATCCTTCAGCCCTACATAATAACAACAAAAATGAGAACTCACAGAGACTTGTGTGGGCTAAAATGTACAATGTTGTCATTTGCTTCCACTTTGCAAACCTCCCAGATGTGGAGGGAGGGGATTGTCGATCTTCTCTTTGATTTCGAATATCGAGACCATGACATAATTTTGATTGATTTAGATAAAAAATTGAAATCATGACACCCCTAGTCTACTATGCTGTGCAGAGTTGTTGCCCTTTTTTAATCTAGTTATTGTACATTTTTTAACTGTTCTATATGAAAGTACCTGTGTGCATGTGTTTGAAAATGTGCATACTTGGCAGAGTCCAGTTCATCGTGCTCTGCAGACTTTTTAACCCATTTTATCACATTTGGCTTGTAAGTTCAGGCCTGTAGAAAGAGGCCTGTTAGTTGCAAAATGGATATATTATGCACATTTAATTAGACTACTCAGTTATAAATGAAATGTTCCCTTACAGGACAGTAACCATACTCAGTCAATAAGAAAGTGCATGCCTCATAGTCGATCAAACGCAATACAAAGTAGATGCACCTCTGACAACAGCACCTTCACTTTAAACGCTCTTCCCATTGCAAAGACTCTGCTTTTTTACCTCATACCAATACTTCAAAGCTGGTGTGTGGCAGACTATCACTACACATCCAAATTCCCTTTGCCAGAGCAACAACTCATTGTGCTGAAAGTAACACAACATTGAAGCCAGATCCCTCTTCAACGGTGGTCGAGGGTTTTTCCCAACCGCTGCCCACATGCTCCATCCACTAAAAAGATCCCCAACAATGCTGTCATCATGTAATTGTGAATCATTTAAGTCTTGTTTGCTTTCTCACAATGATCACATCACAGAGCTGGCAGCAGCCTGAAGCCTGAATGTGTGTGTGTGTGTGTGTGTGTGTGTGTGTGTGTGTGTGTGTGTGTGTGTGTGTGTGTTAAGAAGGAAATCGAGCTGCCATAGAGGTCACCCTTAAAACTGCTGCAGGGAACATACACTTGCACCGGCTCACACACTCTCTCACGCTATCCATCTAAGTGACCTTTGGGCAACACTTGTCCCCTATTTCATCTACAGCCACACACACACACACACATAGCTGATTTAACTACTTCACTCTGCATGTGATGATGATGAAACAACAGAAAAGATAAAGACGACAGAGCAACATTAGCTACAGGTGGGTCAGACTATCTTCAAAAGAAAAGAGGGATATTTTGTGTTAAATCTGCACATTTCAGATCATTAAAGGTTTATTTTACTTCTATTTTTGCACAGTTGAACTTCATTTAAGACCAATAAGAGATGACATAAATTTACAGAAGTTAGGTTCTCAACCCTACCCAGGTTTACTGTTGTCCAGTACTTTTGTTGCACGATAAATAGATTTGCAGTTTCAATTACAGCCAGAGAAGAAAGCAATCTATCCAATATGCCTGCAAAATATACATGTATTCATGGCTTCCCCTAAATGAGTGCCTGAGTATCTTTGTGTGGCGACTCTCTGTTTCACTATGAATGGGAAGCTACAAAGAAGACAATACAGACTTTACTGTCTTTAACCAGCTGCTGCCTTCAAGAGAGATTTCACCAGTGTACAGATGAGGATGCAGCAGCAGTGAAGAGAGCTGTTTCATGACCAGTTTGAAACCTCTCACAGGAGCTTTAAATCACGTTAGTCACACACAGAAAAAGTGCATCTGCCTTTTAAGGGGACCTGCCATCAAAAATGTAATTTTTTGTGTTTTGTGTGTCAGATAAGGTCCATATTATGTTCGTCTTATGTTGTACATGTGAAAACAAACCGTTACGTCGTTTGCATTCTGTAAAGGTTTAAAATAAAGAAACGGGTAAACCAGGCCAATTGAAAAAGCAGGTCATTCTGACGTCACGCTGACCTTGCTCATTATTATTCAGGAGCGCGTCCTCGGTGAGCCGCACCCACTCTCTCGTTCTCGTACTCATTCACAGTCAACATCACTCTCCAGCCAGAGCAAGACCCAGCTACCACTGTATCCGCTATGGGTCTCTTCCAAACGACCAGTGTTTCCTTGGGTTCACTGCCGGGAAAATGAACTTAAAGCTGGGCAGAATGAATGAGAAAACACCGCTGGAGATCTCCGGCTTTTTCTTCAACTTCCACCTCCTCTTCGGACTCGGGGTCTAAAATATATGGTTTAATACCTGCCATTTTTAGCCTTTAGCATAAGGTGACCAGACGTCCCCGATTTCCGGGGACAGTCCCCGAATTTGATGACCTGTCCCCGGCAAAAGCTGTCCCCGAAAATGTCCCGAATTTAAGCATTCCATGAATGAGAACAAAAATGTTGCGTGTGGGCTAGAACAACTGTTATTACAGTAGGTAGGAAGCACAAGTAAGCAGTCCTGAACAACAGTTCTTACGGGGGTTATTACAAGGGGCATACGCTGCTACTACATAGTACCGAGATTTTGTCTGTGATCACACAGCCCCTGCAGCTCCTGCACCCCACCGCCGCCGCACCAAATGTCCCCGGATTTCATTACAGACATCTGGGCACCTTACTTTAGCAAACATTAGCAAAATGGATAAACCAAAATCCGAACCTCCACTGCTGAGCCAATCAGAGCACAGCAGGCTTCACAGCAGCGATCCAATCAGAGCAAAGCTCATTACCATAAATGTTAATGAGCCAAAATGAGTTGGTTTTCCTGTAAGGTTTTTTTAGGCATACTAAAACAAACCATCAAATAACTTTTCAGCTAAAATTATGTTGCAAACATGATCAGAGGACATCAAGGATTATGAAAAAATGACAAATGGGTATGAAATTTTGATGGCAGGTCCCCTTTAAAAGCGCTCAGCACCAATGTACTGTTTTGTGCAGCTCTTAGATTGGAATTGAATAGAATAGAATAATCCTTAGTGCCATGAAAAGAGGTGCAACAGAAATTCCTTTGTGCCATGTCTGAGTAGCAGAAACACATGCATGTACACATTCACTTATACAGTATATATAGTGCCTGTAGTGTATATACATATACATACACTACAGGCCTACAGGCCGAACAGTTTGGATTAACTTTTTGGATAAAGTTTTTGTTCAGAATGCTTTTTTTTTAAAATCCAGCATGAGTTTTTTGTTTTTTGGGATGTATGTACTCCATGATCAGATGTTGCTTTCATGGAAATGCACCATTTTACTCCATTTACCTTTGGATATACATTGATGTTAACAGACCATTGCTAAATATATGTCAGCAAAAGATAATAAGGGCTTAGTTTTAGGGTTGAAAACATTTGCAAGAGTCACAACTTGAGTGCAAAAGCAAAAAAAAACAAATCACAGTTTGATTATTCACTTCAACTTTTTGGCTTTGAGAGTCTGCATACAAAAATCAAAAATGGCTAGAAAGAAGCAACTGAGTAAAGAAACAAAAGTACAGATTTGTACATTGAGGAAAGAAGGATACACAGAAAGAGAAATTGCAAAACGCCTAAAGGTGTTTAACAAAGGAGTCCACTACACTCTGAAGAGGCTAGAGGAACCTGGAAGTTATGATGATAGAAAAGGGCTTAGATGAAAGAGAGTTACTACAAAAGCAGAGGATAAACATAGCATTGTCACCAGTAAGAGAGATTGGCAAAAGACAGCACCAAAAATAGAGAGACAGATCAACATGACAAGGTCGAAACCCATATCTCTGACAACCATGAAATGACATTTGAGAAAGGCCGGTCTGAAGGGTTGTGTATCTGCAAAAAAACACTACTTCGTCCACAGAACAAGAGATATGAGTGGGCAAAAGCTCACAAAAATTGGACTTATGATGACTAGAAACAAGTTCTCTGGACCGATGAAAGCAAGTTTGCACTGTTTGGTTCAAAACGCAGAGTCTATGTCAGCAGACAAACAGGTGAACGTCTGAAAGTACCACGTGTTACACCCACAATTCAGCATGGAGGTGGTAGTTCCATGGTATGGGGATGTTTTGCAGGTGATGGAGTAGGAGATTTGTTTGAAGTAAAGGGTATCATGAAGAAGGAACAGTACCACTCCATTTTCCGGCACCATGCTGTTCCATCTGAACTCAGACTTGTGGCTCATAAGTTTTTTTTTGCAGCAAGACAATGACCCTAAGCACTCTGCCAAGCTCTGTCAGGGTTACCTAGACAAAAAAGAAAATGAAGGTGAAAAGATGGTTTTACCCCCTCAGTCTCCAGACCTTTCTCAATTGAGCATTTGCGGGATGAATTGGATCAATCGGTCAGAAAAAGGCTTCCCACGAATCAGCAGTCTCTTTTTAATGAACTTAAGAAAGCTTGGAATGCAATCCCTGGAGCATACCTTAAAAAACTTGTGGAACGAATGCCTGGTATATGCCAAACTGTTGTTAAATCCATAGGAGGTTACTTTAAAGAAAGCAAAGTCTAAGCAACAATAACTCAAATACCTTATAATTATAGTCAAAATGTCTTCTGATAACATTCATGTTTATTGTGTTGCAAATTATATGTATGAAACTATGATCTTTTTTGTACAAATCTGATCTTGCTTCCAAACTTCTGGCCTGTAGTATATATATATATATATATATATATACTGTATATACCTTTACTTACACACATAAATGCATAAACACAACTTTTGTATATTGTGTGTATTGTCCTGTTAACTGCACTGGTTGAGCAAGGATAAGAGTCTCATTTATTATGTGCCTGCCAAGTCGAGCAAGGCTGGTAAAGCACATATTGTTATCGTCCGGGCAGGTTCAGTAATGTCCCCAAAATGCAGAGCAAAGCAGGGGGTGTGTTGCAGGGCATACGCCCCTGGAATGGGGAGGGGGTGATAAAAAAAAAAAAAAAAGAAAGAGAAAAAAAAAAAGCCCCCCAGAATTCCCCATTAGTGTGTATTGTGTGCCAAGGCGTATATGGGTATCCTAGATGGCGGGTTTATTTTTTCTTATCATTATAGACGCACCTTCGTCAATTAATGCGGTAAGGTGCATCCAGGCATGGCATATATCAAAACGTGCATCTCCATTGTGCGATGTTCGATATTACTTTTTTTTATCATTACTGTTTCCATGCCGACGCTAGACGCCGAAAAGCGGTGAAAATTTCCCCATGTAAGCGGATAGGAGAGGGCGAGAAAAAATATTGACTTTTCGCATGACTTTGACGCCTTGCCCTGTTGCCATACTTTGATGTAGAAGCATGATTAAATCATCAAAAAGTTGATTTCTAAATCGCTGCCACGGCCACAATTTTCACTTGACACACACAAATTATAAATCAAAATGTAGGAAATCTACCAGCTGGACAGAAAATGTGTACCTTGAAGCCATGAGTTGTTACTTTTCAAGCTACAAGGTTTTGTTCATGAGGAGGTACCTGTTTCACCTCCATCCACCACTATTCAAAAGAACACAAATGCTCCACATCCAACTGTTGCTCATTTTCTCCGAGCAGCTCGTGCTCCTAAACCATAAAGCAGGGGTGTCAAACTCTCTTTAGCTCAGGGGCCACATGGAGGGAAATCTATTCCCAAATGGGCCGGACCTGTAAAACCATGGCATAATAACTTAACAATAATAACAACTTCAGGTTGTTTTCTCTGTTTTTTTTTTTTGGTCCAAAATAGTACAAGCACATTCTGAAAATGTACACATCACAAATAATCCTCTAGACAAAACACTAAAGGTTAGTTGAAAATTCTGAGGAAAAACAATGTGCATTTTTAAGAACACAATGCCTCAGTGACTGGAGCTTAGACTTTGTCTCAGAGTATCTACAAAGCCATTGAACTGTAAGTCACAGCCTATCTGGGATTGAATAAAATGCAAAATAAATAATAAATAAATAAAACAAGTCTTCTAGGTATTAAATACCTCATTTGTCATTTCCACAAATTATCCTGTGCCAACTCAACAAACCATACAAACTGAGGTAGAAACTATTCAAGAGAGTTGAGTTACTTCCTGCCTTGTAGGCTACACTACTGATAGAAAAATGAAAGCTGTGCAATACATGAAAAATTTCAACAAACCAAACTTATAAACTGAAGTGACAGACAGTATTGCAGGTAATCACACTATGTTCACTTTATTTAAATTCCACAGAAGACAATCATTTTCACAGAACTGTATTAGGGTGCAGTGTGTGATGCAACACTTTAAGTGGGGTTACCCACTGTTTATTTTACTCCTGAAACCTGGCATCTTTTAGCTTTCACAAGTGCATCAATATCAGGTGTCAAATCCTGAGTGGCAGCCAATTTCAGGATGTTATTGAAGTGCTTGTGCATGAGCCTTCTGCTCATTACAGAGAGCATCTCTTTCTTTCTCTAGTCTTTCTCTATTTCACCAAAAATCTGAAAGCATTGCTCAAACTCCCGCAATAGTCCCGTTATTTTGTCTTGGAACCGCTTCATGTCTTCGGCATGTTGGGTCACGCACATACAGTGCATCCGGAAAGTATTCATACCACTTCACTTTTTCCACATTTTGTTATGTTACAGCCTTATTCCAAAATGGATTACGTTCCCTTTTCCCTCAAAAATTCTACACAAAATACCCCACAATGACAAAGCGAAAAACATTTTTTAGATCAATTTGCAAATTTATTAAAAATAAGAACACTCAAATGTTGCATATACATAAGTATTCACACCCTTTACTCAATACTTGGTCCAAGCACCTTTGGCAGCGATTACAGCCTCCAGTCTTCTTGTGTATGATGCAACAAGCTTGGCACACCTGGATTTGGGGAGTTTTTCCCATTCTTCCTTGCACATCCTCTCAAGCTCAGTGAGGTTGAATGGGCAGCGTCGGTGCACAGCTACTTTCAGGTCTTTCCAAAGATGTTCAATCGGGTTCAAGTCTGGGCTCTGGCTGGGCCACTCAAGGACATTCAGAGACTTGTCCTGAAGCCACTCCTTTGTCTCCTTGGCCGTGTGCTTAGGGTCATTGTCATGCTGGAAGATTAAGCTCAATTTTGAGTTTTATAGCAAAGGGTGTGAATACTTATGTATATGCAACATTTGTGTGCCTTTTTTTAATAAATTTGCAAAACGTTCAAAATAAAAGTTTTTCGCTTTGTCATTATGTGGTATTTTGTGTAAAATTTTTGAGGGAAAAAAGGAATTCAATCCATTTTGGAATAAGGCTGTAACATAACAAAATGTGGAAAAAGTGGTATGAATACTTTCCGGATGCACTGTACCTTTCAGACAAGGAAAGTGAGCTGCATCACCAGCTGCAAGTTGCCTCTCCCACAATGACAGCTTCCGCTGAATGCACATATGCTGTCATAATACTGCGTTATAACTTTATTGCACCCTTGAAGAATTGTGTTCAAGTTATTTAGGTGCTCTGTAACATCCACCATAAATGCAAGGTCCTGCATCCATTCTGTGGACTGAAATTCTAACACTGGTTGGCCATTTTCTGCCATGAACTGCTCAATTTCCTCACAAAGGTCAAAGAAACACCTCAGCACAGCACCTGGGCTTAACCATCTTACCTTGGTGTGCTACGGCAGGCCATAGTTGTGGTCTTTCTCTCTGAGAAGGCTGTCAAACTGACGGTGTTTCCGGCCTCTAGATTGGAGGAAATTAACAGTTTGGACAACCACCTTCATGACGTTATCCATCTTTAATGCCTTGCAACACAAAGCCTCCTGATGCAAAATACAGTGAAATGTCCAAAATTCCGTCCCCCATTTGCAGTCTGAACTTTTTCTCTGAACTCACAACACCTGCTTTTTCCCGATCATTGAGGGCACACCATCCGTAGTCAGGCTAACAGCAGGGGACCAGTCCACTCTGAGCCTGTCCAGCACACCCATGAGTGTGGTGTAAATATCAGCTGCTGTTGTGGTGTCCGTCATTGGCACCAACTCCACGAACTCCTCGGTGACGGTCAAAGTGCCATTAACTCCGCAGCCTTTAGCATGCATGTTTTCACAAATTCATCCTCATTAAATGGTTTTGAAGCAACTGCTATTTCATTAGCAATAAGGTAGCTAGCTTGTGTCACTGATTTCTCGGCTATGAGTAAACACAGACTGCTGTTTCTTCAGAACCACCAAAAGTTCATTCACCTTCTCTCTTGTCCTTGAAAGTTGTTGTATTTGTTGGCATGAGGAGTCTCATAGTGGCGACAAAGATTATATTCTTTTAGCACTGAAACATGCTGTGAACACACCAAACACACAGCTTTCCCATTCACTTCCTTGAATTAGGAGGATGACCATTTTTCCTGGAACACTCTGCACTCTGCATCCACTTTTCTCTTTTTTGACAGACATCTTGGGGCATTGAGGGGGCAAAAGTGTGACATGTCCAAAGTAGAAGACGTAAAAGAGCAGACACAACACAAGGTAGCTCCAGATTAGCTGTACTTGCTTAGAAAACCTGCTCAGTCCACTTTATAAACAGTTTGCTTGCTTAACAAAATTGCTATTGTGACATCCAGTGGACACATTTTGAAGAGCAATTTGTTTCATGAAAAAATTACAGCTCATCTTTATACTTTGCAAAGTCATCTCATGGGCTGGATTAAACCCATTTGCGGGCCTGATCCAGCCCATGGGCTGTAAGAATGACAACCCTGCTGTAAAGCGTACCAACTTGTCCTTCTGATCGGTCATAGCTGTATTCGAGCAGTCGCTCACGGTCCAGAGTTTTTTCCTATACAACATGAAGTTTGTCAGCAACAAGCCTTTTGTGGGCACTAGTGAGATATCAAGATTCCTATTTAAAGTGAATGGAGCCGCTGAAAACATGGGGTGGTCTCCATATTTGGAGTTTGATTGTGATGTCATACTTTGAGGTAGAAATTTAGATGAGACCTGAACCCTTCAACCTGTGAAAACCGCATTTCAATATCTCTTACAGTTTTCCTAGAAAGTGGGTTTGTTTGGGCCAGTCCTGTTCTAAGCAGGTAGAGGCTCAGTGAGGAAAAGTCTGTCACAGGTGAACTGCAGGTGCACTGTCACCATAGAGACAATTCCCACTCAGAGCACAAGGCCTGCCCACCTGGTCTTGATTGACAGCTGTCTTCCAGACACAACAACACAGAGACAGCCGGATTACCAAAGTTTCAAGTCAGATTCATGACAAAGGCTCTAAATCATCAACGCTTTGACATATCAGCACCATATTTGACACATCCCCTTGTGACACCACTCTGAAGACATGTCCCACTCTGCAGCCATCTTGGATGACCCCACCATCCCCAAACAGGAAGTAGCCCTCATGTATCTCCACCCAAAACATGGCCTAAATGTGAGTAAATCAGCAGCAAGCAGCAGCGAATCAGCAAGCGGGTAGGCACATTTTAAAATTTCCCTGGAATTTTCTAGTTGTCCTTGTTCTTGCTTTATTTAGTTCAGTTATAGTTCTATGGTAAAAACTGTTCTTGAGTCTGGAGGTGCAGGATCTGAGTGCCCTGTAGTGCCTTCCAGAGGGTAGCATGGAATACAGGTGATGACTGAGGTGGCTGGGATCTCTGAGTATGTTGGTGGTGGTGCGAAGGCAGTGTGTTTTGAAGATGTCTTCCAGTGAGGGTAGACTGAGTCCAATGATCTTTTCTGATGTTCTTATGACTCCTTAAAGGCTTGGGTAAGACTTACTTTTGTTGCCCCCAAGTCAAAGACAGTCAAAGTCAGGCTGAAACCTTTGCCTCATTTCAGTTCAGAGTCTCCAACTCTGCAGACCAATTCCAGAGAAAGTCAGCCATGGGGCAGCCTGAGCAGATTCAAGGATTAAATTAGGTTCACATGACATGATACGTAGAAACAAATATAATCAGTGGAGGGAGGAGGGGAATTGTAAGAACAGTCTCTGTGCTGTAGTGGCTGACTGACCCAGCTGCTCTCAGATCACACAAATAAAATTGCATCTGATAACCGACTCATACTTTCTCTTTATCGACTATTCTCTTCTTTTTACTGTTTTTATCTTCTCTTCCACTTCTTCATTTTACATGAAGTTTGATTGCCTTTCTTTTTGTCCGTCTTGAACTGACCTAAATTTTAGTTTAGTTCACAAAGAGCAAATCTGCAAAGGTAATCTCTGTCCTCGAAATTTATGGAACATTCATCTAATCTCCCTTTCCCTTTCGGATTAAAAAAAGAGAGGGGGATGACTGTAAGAGTAAAACAATCCCAAACAAAATATTTGTAAGGAAACATCTCATGGATCTAGTAAGATATTTGAGTCACCAGAGAAAAGGAGTGTTTTCCCACTCCTGTTAGAGGTAGAAGTTAATCTCAGATGGTGCAGGTAAGGTAGGTGGTCAGGGTGAGAACAGGGCCAGCCAGCCTGGAAGGTTTTGGAGACTCTGTGTCCGGTTCAAGGACAAACCAGCACAGATGTACATGTCAAAAGGGTTTTTCTGTTATCAATCACTGTTGGCTGGTGGGCTCAGGTCAATGAAAGGTTACCTGCAGGCCACTGAAGTTCAACTTTTAGACTCACGACAGCACCTGAAATGCAATTTAATGTAAGACAGGAAAGCACAACACAAACAGAACTATACACACACTACAGGCCAAAAGTTTGGAAGCAAGGCCATTACAGGCTGAACAGCTGGGAGTAACTTCAAGTTTTTTGTTCACAATGCTTTTTTTAAAATCCAGCATGAGTAGTATGTATTTTGGGATGTATTTACTCCATGATCAGATGTTGCTTTCATGGAAATGCACCATTTTACTCCATTTACCTTTGGATATACATTGATGTTAACGGACCATTGCTAGATATATGTCAGCAAAAGATAAGGGCTTAGTTTTAGGGTTGCAAGAGTCACAACTTCAGTGCAAAAGCAAAAAAAAACAAATCACAGTTGGATTATTCACTTCAATTTTTTGGCTTTTGAGAGCCTGCATACAAAAATCCTAATAAATCTCAACTGCATTCAAAATACTACAAAAATGGCTAGAAAGAAGCAACTGAGTAAAGAAACAAAAGTACAGATTTGTACATTGAGGAAAGCAGGATACACAGAAAGAGAAATTGGCCTTAAGGTGTTTAACAAAGGAGTCCACTACACTCTGAAGAGACTAGAGTAACCTGGAAGTTATGATGATCGAAAAAGGCCTAGATGAAAGAGAGTTAGCATTGTCATCAGTAAGAGAGATCACCGAAAGACAGCACCACGAATAAGGGAGGAAATCTACATGACAAGGTTGAAACCCATATTTCTGACAACTGTGAAAAGACGTTTGAGAAAGGCCGGTCTGAAGGGTTGTGTATCTGCAAAAAACACTGCTTCGTCCACAGAACAAGAAAAAGAGATATGAGTGGGCAAAAGCTCACAAAAATTGGACTTATGATGACAAGAAACAAGTTTGCACTGTTTGGTTCAAAACGCAGAGTCTATGTCTGCAGACAAACTGGTGAACGTCTGAAAGTACCACGTGTTACACCCACAATTCAGCATGGAGGTGGTAGTTCCATGGTATGGGGATGTTTTGCAGGTGATGGAGAAGGAGATTTGTTTGAAGTAAAGGGTATCATGAAGAAGGAACAATACCACTCCATCCTCCAGCACCATGCTGTTCCATCTGGACTCAGACCTGTGGCTCATAAGTTTTTTTTTGCAGCAAGACAATGACCCAAAGCACTCTGCCAAGCTCTGTCGGGGTTACCTAGACAAAAAAGAAGAGGGAGGTGTTCTTCAAATGATGGTTTGGCCCCCTCAGTCTCCAGACCTTTCTCCAATTGAGCTTGTGCGGGATGAATTGGATTGTTCGGTCAGAAAAACGCGTCCCACGGATCAGCAGTCTCTTTTGAATGAACTTCAGAAAGCTTGGAATGCAATACCTGGAAAATACCTTAGAAAACTTATGGAATGAATGCCTCGTATATGCCAAGCTGTTGTTAAACGCAGAGGAGGTTACTTTAAAGAAAGCAAAGTCTAAGCAACAATAACTCGAATACCTAATAATTATAGTCAGATTGTCTTCTGATAAGTTACTCTTTACACGATAGTCATGTTTATTGTGTTGCAACTTATATGTATGAAACTATGATTTTTTTTTGTACAAATCTGATCTTGCTTCCAAACTTCTGGCCTGTAGTGTATGTAACATGATTGGACAGATAGGGCTCTACACTGTGTGCACAATTATTAGGCAAGTTGTATTTTTGAGGATAAATTTTATTTTTGAACAACTCCAGTGCTCTCGGTCAGTCCAAAATGTAAATAAACCTCAAACCTGAATATTTAAGGGAATAAAAGTGAGATTTTGGCTTCCTTAGGAGAATATCTATGTGTGCACAATTACTGGGGGCAGCTATTAGTGTGCAGAATTATTATGCAACTAAATTAAAAATGAAAAATTTTCCGTCTCACTTGTTTATTTTCACTTGTTAAAGTGAGAATGATAAACAAACAACTTAAAATTACCAAATAAAAATTTTTGACATTTCAAAAAAAATCAGTGACCAATACAGCCACCCTTCTTTTCAATAACAGTCATAAGCCTTTCATACATGGAGTCTTTCAGTTCCTTGATCTATTGACGATCAACTTTTAGTGTTGCAGCAACCAAAGCCTTCCATACACTGTTCCAGACACTGTTCAGAGAGGTGTACTGTTTTCCTTCACTGTAAATTTTCCGTTTAATTAGGGCCCACAAGTTCTTAATAGGGTTTAGGTCAGGTGAGGAAGGAGGCCATGTCATTATTCTTTCAGTTTTAAGGCCTTTACTGGCGAGCCACATAGTGGAGTACTTTGTTGCGTGCAATGGAGCATTTTCCTGCATAAAAATCATGGTTTTCTTGAAAGATGCAGACTTTTGCCTGTACCACTGCTTGAAGAAAGTGTCTTCTAAAAACTGGCAGTAGATTTGGGAGTTGATTTTAAGTCCATCTTTAACCCGAAAAGGTCCAGCTGGCTCATATTTAATAATACCAGCCCATACCAGTACCCCGTCTCCACCTTGCTGGCGTCTGATTCAAAGTGGAGCTCTGTGCCCGTCACTGAGACAGCCACGGGCCCATCCATCTGGTCCGTCAAGAGTCACTCTCATCCCATCAGTCCATAAAACCTTTGAAAAATCTCTCTTAAGATATGTCTTGGCCCAGTCTTGACGTTTCAACTTGTGTGTCGGGTTTTAGCCTTCCTTACCTTGGCCATGTCTTTGAGCACTGAACACCTTGTACCTCTGGGCACTCCAGGTAGGTTGCAGTTCTGAAATATGACAGCACCGGAGGATAAGCGGTTCCTGGTAGCTTTACGTTTGAGTCTTCTCAAATCTTTGGCAGTTTATTTGCGTCTTTTTTTCTTAACACGTTCTTGCGACCCTGTTGACTATTTGCATCAAAGTGTTTGGTGGTTCTGTGATCACGCCCAAATATCTAAGCAATTGCAAGAGTGCTGCATCCCTCTGAAAGACTTTTTACAATTTTTGACTTTTGAGAGTCATTTAAATCTCTTTTTTGGCCCATTTTACCTGAGGAAAAGAAGCTGCCTAATAATTATGCACACCTTGATATAGGGTGTTGATCTCCTTAGGCCCCAACCTCCCTCATTACACAAATACATATTACCTGATATGCTTATATCCAATAAGCATTCAAGCTAATACAGCTTGGAGTTGGAAAATATGCATAAAAATGATAATATGATCAAAATACTCACTTGCCTAATAATTGTGCACACAGTGTATTTTCATGCCTCGCCAGAGACGTGCCGCAGGCGCGGCGTAAGTCAGGTCCACCACGCCGATGAGGCATTCACAAGTACAATTTGGTATTTTGGTGAATGGCACAGCCCGGCGTAAGTATCCCCCCTCCCTAACTCAGCTCCTCCCAGTGGCATAAGTCGTAGCGAGGGAGGAGAGAGGGCGTGGAGTGGATTCAACACAGCTGAGACCTGTATTGACCAATAAGATCAGCTCCTCTCCTCACCTTTAAATCCGCCACCGGCGAGCCGTATTACAATTTTCGTGAAGTAGTCAAAGAGATCAAGAGATGTCTGAAGACAGCAATGCCACACGATGGCGACAGAAGGCAGCCTGTCAGAATAATGTGTATAAATGTATATAGAAGTTATCATCTTACTCAAATTTTTATGTAAGAGTTTGCTACAAGTATGAACTGTTTTAACCTCTTGTTACACATCACATAAGAGTGTTTTCTAACTTCTCTCTCCAATAGCTTTATCACACAGCACATGAGTGATTCCTAACTTCTCTGACCTTGTTTCTCCTATCAGCAGGTGTGTGTGTGATGTATCCTCCACTGTGAATCGTGGAAAGTAATAAGGAGGATCCACTCCTATCAGAAGGAGCTCGTTTTAATGTCAACGATGTCGCCTTGACCCTCACATATTATCTGTTGTTCATAATTATGTTTTATGAGAATGCTTACGCTGCTGCAGATAGTTTCCCCCATCCTTTAGTGTATGCAGTGTTGTGTAACCAGGGACAACCCTAAATAAAAAGAGACTGGACAGAGATACCTTAAGAATGGTTTTAAGATTGTAACTGACACTATCTCTGCCCATTCTCCTCGTGAGTAAGAAATCCAATACCATTGTCTTTCTCTTCTTTGTGTGTTTTAAGTCATTTGTTGCAGGTTTTAGACCCAACACAGCCTTTCAATAAGTGTCGCTGTAAGAGCTGCAGAGGGCATCCTTCACACTGTCTCATAAGCACAGATGGATTTGGTGTGTGTAAAGTTGGACCCACTGGTAAGACAAACACCCTTTTCCACAAATAAAGACACTAACATAAAGTTGCATATATTCAAACCTCACGTGACAAAGGTGGGTTGTGCGCACAGATCACAACACAATTCCAAAAATGGCGTCAAAATCGGAACCATCTGTGCATAATGACGCATCACGCTCCGTGGCCTGGCTCTTTCTTTCATAGATGTTGGCATATAAAATAAATTTGGCTCACAAAACTAAATATTATAATATTCGTATGTAGGCTTAAAGTAAATAACTAATCTGATCACTGAAACAAATCATCTGTTCAGCCGCCGCAGCAGGAGCAGGATGGGGAGAGGACATGGAGACATGTCCAGGTCGAGCTGCGCGAGAAATAAGAGGAAGAGGAAGAAAGAAAAGGAGGGAGACGAATTACATATCTTGTTGACTTCCTCATGTGTGTCTATTTACTAGATATTTAATTTAATTTAATGCGGTTTCAGCTGTGTTGATTCGGTCAGGTTGTGTGTCCAAACGCGCTCATCAGATATAGATCAGAATATATCGATATAGATCTCAATGTATGTGCTGACTCAGATTAGTAGTTGTTGCTGATTATTTATTGCACTGAAATGTACCTGACACTGTGGAAACCTGCCGGTGAGGCATCAGTGATGTATGCCGATACGCCGCCGGTCTACCAAAATACCTCTTGACCAGCTGTGCTCGACCTGCGCTGAAAGCTGACCCCGGTTTGAATCGGCGAGCTTTCGGTGCACTTCATACGCCACCGGCGAGCACGAAAATGTCACTGTGCCAGCTGATTCTGTCGACACCTCCCCCTGCCTCGCCACCACGCCCAGCTTGGCGGATCTCGGTGTGCCTCAGTCCACGAAAATACCAAACTGGCTGTACGCCGGGCTCCGCCAGACGAAAATAACACTGCACGGGGTCTGCCACCCTCCGCCACCTCACTCGCGGACACGAAAATAGAGCCCATAGTGTTAAAACAAATGTTAAGGCAAATTTTCACCTCATTGTTACTGTTTTGTTTCTTTACTGCCATACCGTTCCTGTTTGCTCATTGCTGCATCAATCTCTACCAAAGAGGGAATTGAACTTTTGCCTCAGAAATAAAGTCAGATCTCACACTCTCAGTTGATCTCAGAAATCTAAGAAAAAAACTTTTCACTCAACCGGCTTCAAAGCAAAACCCTGCTAGAGTAGCAGGCCAATTAGCATTGGAGCTAGCTGATAGGCCAAGGATTGTATAGCAGACTGTAGATTTAGTGTCATCTATGAAAAGCTTTACTTACTTTTCTCCGTCAATAGAAAGGCAGCACTGTTGGCTGTAGTCTAATGACAAAAAAATAATAATAATAAAAAAAAACAATAAATACTTACATTTTTATTCATTACTTTATCTAAAACCATTTTTGGTACAGTCCTCATCTAACCATCAGCTAAAACACTCAGCACAGCTTTGTGTCTGTTCCTGTAGTCCCGCTTATATTCAGTATTCAGTGTGTTTCTTCTATCCAGCAGTTAAAAATTGACTTTCTTCCTGGTTTTGCATCATGATTTGATGTGATCTGTTTTGTTTATCTTGTCATTGCTTTGTGCTGTGATTAATGTCTCCTCCATTCCTGTTTGCTTGTCCATTTCTGTTTGTAAGGATCTCCTTGGGAATAAGACATTAAATTCTATGGGCTACTCCTAATAAAGAATTTCAATTTTACAACAAAATATTTCCCTTTGCAGAAAATGCAGGAGATGCTGCAAGCTTGATTGCACTGTTAGAAGAGTTGTAATTATAGAAGCATCAGAGGATGTACCAGCAGAGCCAGCAGGGGTTGCTTCTTCATTAATAATAATAACTTGATTTATTTATGTATATCTTTGTCTTGTGTTTGACTTCTGTTAAATCTCTCCCCTATTGTTATTTCTATTGAATTTTCTGTTCCTTCAAATTTCAAAATGTTATTCTTAATCCAGAATTTCAATCCATAAATATAACAAAAGTCATATTCACACCATACTTGACATTGTGACCTGACTGGTCAGTCATTGTTATATACTGTAATTCAATATAAAAACAATGTTGATGACTGAAACACATGCTAACTGCAGAATCGAAACAATGGCTCTGGTTGAACTCTTTCCTTCTTTGTGTGAAGAACAATTGGAGAGACGATGAACTTGGTGTGTCTCAGGGCATCACTTCCACAAACATCTGTTTAGTGCTGTTAGCTGAAACCCGAGGTGGAAGGATATAGGGGCTAACACACAAACAGGGACTTTGAGCTGCTGCAGAGAGGAATGGAGTTGGGAGTGGAGGGAAGGCTGGAGGGGGTCAGCTCTGTTAACAATGAATCCATTGATTAAATTTTCTGGCCTCTTCTCAGTCCTTCACTTCTTTGTTGTCCCTCCGTCCTCCATCTCTCCTTTCTCTCTTTTGTCTTTTCTCTTTTTAAGATTTTACAGCTTGGACGCTTCAGAGGAAACACAATAGGGTTCTAGATTTTTTAAAAACTGTAACAAGTGTCCAGCTACTTCATTTCTGCCTGTTATCAGCCCTCCTTCTCCTTCTCCTCTTCTTTCCTCCTCAGGTAGCAGCTTTCACATGGCCTCCTCACAAAGAGCTGATTGTACCTTCTGAGCATTTATGTCAGTATGTCTTAGAGGGTCTGGAGACATCTGTGGCATGCATGTGTCTCTGCATCCCGCTAACGCAGCTTTTATGTGAGAACATCTCTGATGGTGGTGTGGAGAGGAGGGCCAGCTGTAATAAACACCAACAGATTGCAACCAAGGGAAAAGAAACAGGATGAAAGGCTGAAGAGGAGGGAGTGAAGAGGGGGGTGAAGAGGAAAGCCTGGGCTCTGGATATATCATCATATTATGAGCATTTATGCTGTATATCCAACGTGCAATTAAAAAAAGGTGTTCTTGAAGCTTAAAGAAATGAAAACAGACTTTCAACAGGCAATCAGCTGTGGCAAAATTCAAACAATTTTTTAAAATGTTTTTTTTAAATGTATTTATTCAACTTAATTTAACCAAATTAAAATACATAAATAAATAAAAAGACATCAGGGTTACGGTTAGGGTCCATAAAAAAAGTGGCCAACTTCTCACAACATCAAGATCAAGATCTCAAGATCAAGAAGCTTTTAATATAAATAACAAGCACAAGCACTGTTCAATGGTGTCATACTGTCTATAAGGGCTGCACGACATATCGTTTGAGCATAGTTATCGCGATGTACGTGTGAGCGATGAGTCTGCAATGTCGGAGGCGAATGAACTTATCTAACTTCAAGAGGAGCTGACTGAGATACACTGCATGTGACTGCATGTGCTGTGCAGCAATCCACCAATCACATTAGTTCTTTACTCAGTTGCCAATCAGACTACCCTGCCAGCTGTCAGTCAGAATCAGAGAGGAGGAAACCATGCCCTGCACATGGCCTGCACATGGCATGAGTCGCTGGCGCTGAGAAAGGCATGCCTGCCAAGAATTACTTTCGGACCATTACTCATCACTGTTTAGCCCAACAAATAAGAATTGTATGGGTTTTAAGTTGTACATTTCCATGAACCACTCTACTATAAGCGGTGTGCGTTTTGCGAGGCGCATGCAATCCTCGGCAGGCATGCGATTCTTGGCACAACACTGGTAGCAACAACGATTGCAAAATGAGCAACGAACAAGAGAAAACCACAGAAAATGAAGACTTGTGGCCAAAAGGAAAAGGAATACCAGTTATCTGGAACTATTTCGGTTACAAGAGGAATGAAGTCGACCAAACATGTGGTCTTTATCAGCAGGGCCTTTCATCTGTTGCCACAATAAGCTCCCAGCACAATAAAAGCAAGCTAAAAACATCTCTACGACAGACAGAAGCCATTCTTCTAGCATTCACAAAAAGAGGTAAGATCAGTGCAGATTAATTGTCCACAAGATTTCGTCTTTGCAGCATAGCATAAAGTGCTATTCAGGTCATCTGGTGAACATTCCTGTATTTTTAAATATCACAATATATGTCACAGGGTTGAAAAAAATTGCAATGTTAGTTTTTTCCTATATCATGCAGGCTTACTGTCTATCCATCAGCATAAAGCAAAAGGCCCCAAGTGAAATAAGCTCTAAGAGTCTCAGTTCAGTCTGCAGAGAGTTCCACACTGTGGGTGCAGTTCAGTTCTAAAGTAAGGAACTGAGAGGTGGAGAACGTCACAGGAGTGCAAGGCACAGTGGCTTTTAGTTCTCTGAAGAAAAGCATGAGATGGAACTAAGCTGAGCAGAGCCTTATACATCAGGGTCAGCCAGTGCGTATTCCTGTGTGCACTTAATAAAGGCCAGCCAGTATTCACATACAATTCACAATGATGTGTAACACAAACCATCACCAGTGATAAACCTCAAGGTGCTGTGGTAAACAGTGTCATAACCTGGCTCGATGGCCATGACAAAAGGACGAGAGGAGTGCATGTTAAACAAAAGTAAATTAATTTATTTACAAATTCAAGTAAAGCAAGCGAACAAAAACTACAGGTATGGGGTGTGTTAGTCTAATATCAGTAGTGTGCATGTGGGTGTGTGAGAATGACGTGGTGCGAGGTGTTGAAAGGTGCACTGACAAAAGTAACTAAATGACATGTGCATGGGGATCTGCAGACAGCAGAGCAGAAAGGTGAGCGGCAGAGCAGACAGAGCCAAGCAGACAGAGCCAGTATATGTATGTAATGGGTGGAGCAGCAAGCCCAGGTGCTCCATATCAGAGCAGATTTTAATCAGCCACTCCTGTCCTCTGAAGACAACAGCTATGTCAGATCTCCAGTCTAAACATTTACCCAGGGGCTGTCACAAGGACTGAAGGTATTTCAACAAAGCACCTATGTACAGCACATCTTCTTAGTCAAGCAAAGGTGGAAACATCGCTGATACAAGCAGTTTCCTGACTCTAAGTAATAAGCAGGTTTGTTTTGGAAGTAAAACCCAAGCTTTACCCTGAGTTTGGTGACTAATCCTGCGATGTGTGCTTCCTAAGAAAGCTCATGGTCCAGAAGAAAACCCAGGTACTTATAGCTGGAGACCAGCTCTATTGGCTTTCCTTGTTGAGTCACAATAGTGGAGATTTTTCCTTGTAACTCACTTGAGTTTAAAAAGCAATGAGCTTTGTTCTTTCTATGTTTAATACCAGTTTGAAACTTCTTGGATGACACTGAACAACATTAAAAGGATCTTTTCTGAGGCCTTTGCTGCCTTTGCAAAAGAAAGGTATTGTTTTCCTTTCTATTTGAGTGACTTAGGACTTCATAACTTTCCATTACAGATTCTAAAAAAAGCTGTGACAATTCGAAGGCTGCAAAATATCTCTGAGCGATTCATCTCAGCATGATCCTGGTTAAAATTATCTGAAGGTTTACAAAAAACCTTCAACCTCCAGATGAGACAGAGTACGGTGAAGCATGTAGAGGGCAGCATCATCCACTCCAATGTGGTTTTTTGTATGCAAAATGCAGGGAATCCAGTTTGTCTTTGACCTCAGACCTCAGAAGGCGTAGAGGCAGCCGCTCCAGGGTTTTCATGATATGTAAAGTGAGGGCCACTGGTCTGTAGTCATTGAGTTCAGCAGGACATTTTGTTTTGGGTACTGGCACAATGCAGGATGTTTTCCACAGAGTAGGTACCCGCCCCAGCTGTAGACTCAGGTTGGAGATCCTGTGGAGAGGTTGCCACAGTTCTGCAGCACAGTCTCTAAGCAGCCTTGGACACACACCATCTGGACCATCTGCCATCCCAGGGTAAAGTCTTCTAAGCTCCAACGTCAGACCCTGTTTCTGTGACAGACAAGGACTGATGTTCTTGAAGGGAGTCAGTTGAAGTGGTTGAGACATTTGAACAAGATTGAGGAGGAAGGGGAGAAGTTGTAGTGGAGATTTGTTGCAGAGAGGAAGGTGGAGTAGAAGTGGATGTGCAGTGGGTGTGACAGCAGTGTCAAATCTGTTGAAGAACAGATTGAGTTCATCAGCTCTTTCTACATCACCCACCACTGGCTCTTTTCTTTTTATTGCTGTGTCCTGAGATAGTACTGATTTCTCTCCACACTTCATGGATGTTGCTGTGTTGTAGATTCCTCTCTATCTTCTTTTTGTACTCCAGCTTGGCCATCTTCATTCTCCTCTTCAACTCTTGTTGTACTTGAGTCGTTCTCTGTCACCATCTTTAAAAGCTTTCTTTTTCTGGTTAAGGATTGCTTTTATGTCACTTGTGATAATAGACTGTATATACTATGGACAACTTGGTTCCGCCTACCGCCTGTATATGGATTTGAAGCCAAATAGCTCTCGGTATTTCCGTGATTTTTCTTCATTTCCTGAAACCAGCGCTGCGCAGTAGCGTTGTGCGCATTTGGGCGCGCAGTCGCTGAGAGTCGCTGTGATGACGCTCGGCTCAAACAGCGAATCCCCCAAGAGAGCTATGCAATCCCTGAACGCCCATAGGCTGTACCAGGTGTCAATCATAGAAAACATGAACCCCCCAATAACTTTTAAAAACGGAGCTGTACAGAAAAAAAAGGACTTGGGCACAAACCAGTCTTACTGTAACTACATGTCAACATCACAACCAGGGGGGAGAAAAATGTATATTCTGTGTAATAAATTTCTAAAGTTTGTCCACAGCCCCATAAGCTTTGCTGGCAGAGGCGGGATTTATGACCTATACTGCAGCCCATCAACAGAGGGTGCTGTTCTCAGAGTGGCTTCACCCAGCGAGGAGGCAAACTCTGTCCATTCTTTATACAGTCTATTCCAGGGTTTGTTGTTGGGGAAACAGCAAACAGTCTTCGTAGGTATAACTGTGTCTCTGCAGAAGTTGATGTATTCAGTAAAGCAGTCAGTCTGTCTGTCAATGTTCATACTGTCCTCATATGTTTTCAGCAGCACAGTCCCGTCTGTCCACAGTCAATACAGAGAGACCAGACTTGTAGCAACCTCTTGGTTGAAGCGCTTCATTCAAGGAGAGGAGCAGGAGGTTCAGAGAGGAGAACAGGGAGAGGAGCAGGAGGACAGAGGTGTGTGTATTTTTAGGTTATGAAGATGCAGTGTTGGAAAAAGCTGAGTTAAAGTCCAATCTGCAGACTGAGACAAAATGTTGGTGGTGGTAGAGCTCAAATCCTTTTGTTTTTATGAACAAACACAGTGTGTAAATTCTCTTTAAAAGGTGAAATCTTTTATTCAATTTCATGAATATTATCATCAAAATAAAGCCAAAGCTCTTGTGTTTAAATTGTCCTTTCTTCTTCCTTTTTAGTTTTGCATAATAAATAGACATGTAAGTTTGTTTTTTTAATATTAGGATGTTTCAATACTCTATTAGACTTTCTAGCTTATTGACCGAGGTTGTTCAGAGTCAGGGATTCAAAACCTGCTGTTTAAACAAGGTCACACAAGCCAAAAAAAAAAGTGCTGGTAAGAACTTGTCAAAGCAAAGATCTTTGGAGACATTTGAACTCAACAAAACAAGGTGTAGTAAAAGTTTGACCCAAAACATCATGATACAAACACCTGAGGTTTTTAAGAGCGGTTCATAGAGTCCTGAGAACTGTGTGAGAGTGAGAGAGAAAGAGACAGAGGCTGCACAGTGTAACCATCATCAGGTGGCAGTAACTGAAGTATGGCGTACAAAATGGGCCAGAATTACTGTATTACAGGACAATTCATCACTGTGAAATATGAGAGAGAAAATTAAAGAGCAGAGAACAGAAAGGGGGCAGAGCAGGACAAAGAAAAAGAGAAAGCAGACCAGAAACCAGGCCTGCTGCTGTTGTTGTTGCTGCTGGTGGTGGTGAGAGATACTAGAAACATAAAGACATGAACAGAGTAGAGGATAAACCCAGTCAAGATTGTCCAGAATCAGTGATAAAGATGCTCCACCTTTGGCTCAGAGACAGTAAACATGAAGCTGAGGTTGTTTAGCAGAAAGAGTGAAGGCTGTAGTTATTAGGGATTTAATTTCAAAGTCAGATATTAACTACAGCTGCCAGTGTTATCATGATAGTGATCTAAAGACTTGAATATGTTCATTATTTTTCAACAGGATTCATTTGGCTTCTGGCTTTATATGGAAATTGATATGGGGCCTCATCTACCTTACTTAGCTTTTAATGAACATTTATGATCATGAAAAATAGTGATGCAGACTTGCGGGTGAGAAGGGAAACCTCTGCTCATGGGCTTAAACGTGATGCCATGTTTGTTTGAGCTCGAGGTCCCTACATTCGTGCAGACTATCAGTAAAATATAATCAATAAGCTGCAGACTTCCTATTCCATATCTTGTGATGAAAAAGACAGAAAATCAGCCACTTTGACTCATAGAGTCACATTATCAAACACCTCTGCACTGTTACTATCAAATCCTCATAAACCACTAACAACTCTCAATCATGTCACAACAGCGGGCTCTATTTTCGTTCGCGCCGGTGAGGCGGCGGAGGGCGGCGAGCCCCGCGCAGTTGTATTTTCGTCTGGCAGAGCCCGGCGTAAGGCGAGTTTGGTATTTTCGTGGACTGAGTCGCACGGAGGCGAGCCGAGATCCGCCAAGCTGGGCGTGGTGGCGTGGCAGGGGGAGGTGTTGACAGAATCAGCTGGCGCAGTGACATTTTCGTGCTCGCCACCGGCGTGTAACGTGCGCTGAAAGCTCGCCGATTCAAACCTGGTCAGCTTTCAGCGCAAGGCGGAACGCAGCTGGTCTAGTAGTATTTTGGTAGACCGGCCGCGTATCGACATACGTCACTGATGCCTCACCGGCAGGTTTCCACAGTGTCAGGCAGATTTCAGTGCAATAAATAATCATCAACAACTATTAATCTGAGTCAGCACATACATTTAGATCTATATCGATATATTCTGATCTATATCTGATCTGATGAGCGCGTTTGGCACGCGTTTGGGCACACAACCTGACCGAATCAATACAGCTGAAACTGCATCAAATTAAATTAAATATCTAGTAAATAAACACACATGATGAAGTTAACAAGATATGTAATGTGTCTCCCTCCTTTTCTTTCTTCCTCTTATTTCTCGCACAGCTCAACCTGGACACGTCTACGTGTCCTCTGTCCGTCTTGCTTGCTGCTGCGGCTGAACAGATGATTTGTTTCAGTGCTCAGATGCGTGATCTACTTTAAGCCGACATACGGATATTATAATATTCAGTTTTGTGGGCCAAATTTATTTTATATGCCAACATCTATGAAAGAAAGAGCCAGGCCACGGAGCGCGATGCGTCATTTACGCACAGATGGTTCCGATTTTAATGCCATTTTTGGAGTTTATGTTGTGATCTGTGCGCTAAACCCACCTTTGTCACGTGAGGTTTGAATATATGCAACTTTATGTGAGTGTCTTTATTTGTGGAAAAGGGTGTTTGTCTTACCAGTGGGTCCAACATTACACACACCAAATCCATCTGTGCTCAGATGAGAGAGTGTGGAGGACACTTGTTGAGCAGCTGCCCTCTGTCGCCATCGTGTGGCATAACTGTCTTCAGACATCTCTCGATCTCTTTGACTACTTCATGAAAATAGTAATACGCCTCGCCGGTGGCGGATTTAAAGGCAAGGAGAGGAGCTTATGTGATTGGTGAAAACAGGTCTCGGCTGTGTTAAATCTACTACACGCCCTCTCTCCTCCCCGTCTACGACTTATGGTGCTGGGAGGAGCTGAGTTAGGGAGGGGGGATACTTATGCCGGGCTGCGCGGCTCACCAAAATACCAAAATGTGCTTGGGAACGCCTTGTCAGCGCGGCGGATCTGATTGACGCTGCGCTTGCGGCAGATCTCCGGCGAGGCACCAAAATAGAGCCCAGCATCTTGAGACCTGGTTTATACGTGAGGAGATCTGACAGGAGCCTCCTGGAACACAAAAAAAGTCAATGACTGTCTGTAATTCATCAGCAGGACACTGATGTGCTCCAGAAAGATCATGTGGGATATAATATTAGGGATGCGAATTTTAAATTCTAGTCTTTTAAATTACCTCACAGCAACATAACAGATAAAACTACTGTTACCTATAAAAACAGCTCAATGTGGAATTTCTGCAACAAGAGAGCTAATCACTCTTGCGGTTTTCTGCACACTTGTTCCCACTTATAATATATGCATGCTCCCACCATTGAGTGTCAGGCAGGAACACAACTGGGTCATAATCAGTCAGGTCAATCTCACCCTGAGGAGACACTGGTATTGCTGATGTGCTAATATGTGTCAGTTGTACTAGTCTAGGAAATCTGGGGTAGTGTCCAGGTTAAACATCCCCCATCTTCAGTGTGGCCTGTTGTGTATTGTTCCCCCAAACGAGCATGTGGATAACATAGATTATGTACGTACCTCAGTATATAAGGCCGTTAAAATACAATTGAGTTTTGAAAAAGTGGGTGTAAATAGTCCTTCTGCAGACCTTGTGCACATCACAACTTAGTACAGATCTGCTGTGAAATGTCAGATTGATCCTCCCAGAGGCTTGTCTCTCCATGTCCCTATCCTGATCGCCAAAAGGGCAACATAAAACACATTCCTGAAGTTTATGTATTTGTCAGCAGCCTGTCTTAAAAGGAGAGCAAAGATGTAAAAACTGCACAAAGAGCTTTGAGTAAAAGGAAATCTTTATAGTGGGCCGTTCTTCTGCACCGCACAGAGAAGTGTTTCAACACAGTACCCATGTTTTGACAAGGAATTCTTTTAACAATATCGAATTGCAACAACAAATTTACAACAGCTACAACACTGAGCTTTGTTCTCACAAAAACAATGGTCAGAGTATGTTAAAGGTTGGTTTAGTAACTGACCCCAATCACTCTGTTAATGATAAGGTTTGGGTACAGCAGCAACCTTTAATCTATGACCATAGACATGCGGTCGGGTTGGTAGGAGGTGGAGGTTTGGATAAAAGAATATAAGCTGTTATTGCAGGACGGTGGTGTGAAACGAACTCTGCTCTTACCCATCAAGAATGAATTTCTAAGACACAGACGTCCAAAGTCTGACCTCCACATCCTGACTTACTGCCTAACATAAGTACAGACCACATTACCGACTGCTAAAGTACCCTTTGTCTGCTTCTTATTGTAAAATCCATTTAAACATAGACATTCTTATACAGAGATCATCAGTACTCTGTCGTGTGTCATATTAGTGTGGTACAGTTGTTACAAAAACAGTGTCAGAACTGCACCAGCATGGTTTTTGGAAAAGATGAGAAAGGGCTGCACAATATACCATCAATTTATCAAAGGTGCAAACGCGCAATGGTCACACTGAAGGACTAGCTGAAAGATGTCCAAAAATATGACGACCACTTTCTTATTTATCATGACTGATTCAAATGCTATTACATAAGCACACCCCCTTCCTGGAGCATAGAATAAACTGACACTGACACAGTCTTTTAAATTACCTCACAGCAACATAACAGATAAAACTACTGTTACTGACACATGTGTGAAGTGTATGCTGATCCATCATCTTTAAAATTTAGAAACATGCATCTATCCATTATGAAACTCCAGTAATGTTGTGAAGTTTGAGTGAAGCTGCTGCAGCATGGAAGTATCTGTCAGTCATAGGACTTCCATGAAGGCTGCATTATTGTGGGCACCAAGGACAGAGGAGATGTAATGTTGGTTCCACCCCTGCACTCCAAGATGAGCCACCCCAGTCATAAACATCTGGACATGCCCCTGGCTGAAAGACTGTTTACTTTAAGAAGCTGCAGGGCATGACATGCATGAGTTTTGTGGCTTAAGGCAATACTTGACAATAAAGTAACTTTCATGGGGAAAGACACAATTTGAACTTAAACTTGTTCACTGCTAAAAAAAAAGTTGGTGGGGTTAAAATTCCAAACTAAATCAATTCATGATTTAGAGACCTATGAATTCCCCCTCTGTCTGTTAACACTGTGGTAAAAAACATTAGTGGCCAGGGTCTCAGGCTGGTCTCTAACATTCCCCCTCTGCCTGTTAACATTGTGGCAAAAACGTTAGTGTCTGTCTTGGGTGAGTCTTGGTAGTGGAAATTTAATGTAATTTAGTGGTAAGGGAAAGAGGATTGCTATCCTGTCCTGCAATTGGTGGAATTGCAGCAGAACTGGTGAAGTCATCTCTGTGAGTGTTTCTTCCAAATGTGCCCAACTACCCACCCAGTTCACATCATCGCTTATATAATCTCCTTCAAAGTTTCAACTATTTTCTCTTTGCCTGTTATCATAGCACCTTTACTTAAGTCATTAAGTGATAAAATAGTAAAGACGTTTGGATTTGTAGATCAGAAACAGATTTAGACCCTTTACGTATTTTCAATCCTTTAGCTTCCCCAAGTCAAAGTGTACAGACAGAAGAAAAGAGCAATACAATGCCAGTTTCTTCCTGATTCACACAGCCTCCCCATAGTTAGGACTGCTTTCATTCCTTTGGATACTCTAAATACTCAAGGACACAGTTTCTTGTAAAGAGTTTCATAATTTATTTTAGATTAAAATAAAGAAAGTAAAGCACTTAAATAGAAAACAGAGGTTTCAGAGCTCCTCTTGGAGCCAAAAATAAACTTGAATAATTTTGTACTCTCATGTGTTTGAAATCCCCATTATTTCCTGCAACACAGATCACTGTCTTTTTTGTGTGTGTGTGTGTGTGTGTGTGTGTGTGTGTGTGTGTGTGTGTGTGTGTGTGTGTGTGTGTGTGTGTGTGTGTGTGTGTGTGTGTGTGTGTGTGGGTGTGTGTGTGTGTGTGTTGGTGGAAGCGCATAGGAAAAGACATAAAGCCCAAGGGCATCCTGCACGTTGGAGCAGATCTTTGGATACTTTTCAATATCCTGTTTACTTTGAATCATTTGGATTATTTCCAATTTGTGCTACGTTTGATCAGAGACACTCTGAGACTTAACTAGTCTAACACTCAACTAGTCTAACTCTCAACTCGTCTAACACTCAGCAAGTCTAAAGGGGTGTTCAGACCAAACGCGACTTCTGCGACTTCGGCAACGGCTCCCAATGCAAAGTCTATGGACAGCCACGACCTGACGCGACTTGGCGACTGCCGGCTGCCTGCGATGCGTCGCCGAGGTCGCGTCGCCGAGGTCGCAGGATGCCAAGTCACGTCGCTCCCAAAGTTCAAATATTTGAACTTTGGGAGCGACTATCCACGACTCCGTGCCGTGACAGCCAATCAGGGCTCTGCTGACGTCAACAAACCGACGAAACAAGGAAGAGGAGAAGAAGAATCACAATGGAGGAGCAGTTTATCTCTGCCGTGAGTTATCCCCCGGTCCTGTGCGACGTGAGGTGCGCGTTTTACCGCGACCGCACCTCCAAGGAGGAGGCATGGGTGAAGGTGGCCCATGATTTCGGGCTTTCTGGTCGTTTGTTTATTTATTTCAGTTAACAGACTATTTTCTGAAAACATAGCAAACATCCCCTGCTTGCTAGGCTACATGTTTCAACGTGTGTGTGTGTGTGTGTGTGTGTGTGTGTGTGTGTGTGTGTGTGTGTGTGTGTGTGTGTGTGCGTGCGTGTGTGTGTGCCGCAAGCGCTGGAAGGGGCTGCGGGATGTATATATGAGGGAGAAAAGGAGGGAGAAGGAAGGTGGGAGGAGCGGGTCAGCGGCGACCAGCCGCGACCTGCGACTGCAGCTTTGGACCCGTTGTGAACACACCAGGGCGCCATGCGACGTGACCGGCCAACACGACGCGACCTGGTCGCGTTTGGTCTGAATACCCCTTAACACAATGCCAAGACATTTACGCTCAGCAACCCAGACACTTTTTCAGAAAGTTCTAAATATTTCACTTTCTGTGGTTTTGCTGACACTTGATGGTGGCTTTGCTGCAGCAGTTATTCATTCTATAAGACGAGTAATTCTTACTCTTACATTGCTCCATGTGGCCTGTTATTCTCAGGGTAACAGGCCACAAAAGGAAGCAAGCTATGCAGGACATGGCAGAGGAGTTGGAGAAAAGGGAACTTTTGGCTCTGGCTTCGGAGGAAGGACAAGGTGTGGGGAAAGCATGGATTCCAAGCAGGCTGCAGGGAGTGGTAGGAAGAGGTCCCTACCACTGGCCCACCACCCAGAGATGTTTCAGAAATAATGGGGCAGACATCTGAGAAGGGTGAGTCCCGGCTGATGACCCTGTAGCCTGCACCATGGTGCTGTCAGAGGTGTGACAAGCAGATATGCCAAGCAGATGGAACCACCTGTGCTCACACCCACAGAAAGTATTTAATAATACTTTCACTGTGAAGTTATTGCATATACTTTCAGTAAATTCTCAATAGTATATTGTGATCATTTTACAGTAATATAAGAGGAATTTTTTACAGTGAAAGAACAATATTCTTAGTAAAGTTAGAAAATGATATATGTAATAAATACTGGCAAATACTGTAAATTAACAATCATTTGTATTACTTTAACAGCACTGTGCTATTGTTTAAATGCGATTTTTTTCTTTCTTTTTTTTTTGCACAATTTAAAAGAGTACAACATAGTCAAAAATGCCATGATGGGCTTATTTGAAGCCTCCACATTGTAATAGCCTAATATTCATTTACAATTTAATGTACAAAAGCACAAGATAACATAAAAAATACAATAATAAAAATAATATTGACTGACAACAATAAT